CCAGCTTGGGCAACTATATAGGACTTCTTCTGGTGTTATCCTGTTGGTCCTGCTCTTGTATTTACCTTTCATTGATAATCAACGCTTAGGTAATGAGCAAGTCTTGTCTCATGGGAAGAGGCACAAAGTAAAAGAAAGTGCATGAGATTTGAGATCCAGGAAGGGTTAGGTGAGAACATTACCCCGACGACTGACTGCCTGCGTGATCTTGAGCAAGTTGCTTTACCTGCTTGACCCTTAGTGTCTCCATCTGCAAAATGGGATTGCTAGGATCAAGCGACAGGTATGCAAGAGCATTTAATAGCAGGCCTGGTACATTAGAGACTCTAATTGTATATAACTTCCTTCTCCTTTCTCAACTGTGCTTTGCCAAAATACCAGATTGATGTCTCTGTCTTCATTTGACTCTCTTGAGAAAGCTCTTTTCCAAAGTTGGGCCTTATGGTACTTTTGGGGTCAATGATGAATCATCAACAGTATCTTCCGATACTGACTTTCTGTGAATTTATAAATCTCTGCTTGGGTCTTCTGGTCATTTCTGTGCTCCTTACACCCGCTAGAAGATGAGAAAAGACATGAGACACATGGGTTAATTTTTGTGCTTCAACAAGAAATAATGTTGCTTGTAGGGTCTCCCTAGTGGCCTTTGGGTGAAGTCTCAGAGCTGTCGCTGCTCTGGCCAGGGAGCTGACCCACAGAGCTCAGTGGAGCTCTCCTGTCTCGAAGGCTGCTCCCCTCAACAGTGTATTTCAGTAGATCTGCTTGTTCTGCTCCCCACTCTGTCTCTGGTGAATCCTCTCACTCCCATACTTCTGGCCTGTGCCCCAGCTCTTCACACGCACACACACACACACACACACACACAAGGTTTACCATGGGAGGCACCCCACATCTGTGTGATTATCTTACTTTCTTCTTTGGTAATGCAAAATAATAACCTCTATGCTTTCTACTCATGGAGTGAGGACTCCTTTGAGAACATCTAAGCAAAAAAACAAAGCATTAACAGTGTCTTCACAAAACCATCAGTCACTTGACAGTAATCTGCCTTATATCCTTCTTTGTTTCTGAGAATTTAGAAGTTGCAGAAGTATACACGTTGCTCCTTACATCCTCATGCGTGATTGCTGCCAGTCATGAGTGGTGCTAGAATCTCCTTTCCTGCTCCCTGCCCACTACCAAGCTTTTCTCTTCCTCTCCTCTGTTTACTGCCAGTTCAGGAGGGTCAGTGAACTTCTCCTGACTTGCAGGCTGTTCCCTTCAGCAGTGTTTTTCAGTAGATCTGCCTGTTCTGCTCCCCCCACCGCCTCTGGTGAGTCCTCTCACTCCCCATACAACTGCTGTGTCTCTGGCTCAGTGGGCGGGAGGCATCAGTCTCTGCAGCAGTGGGCCTCAGCTCTCCAGCACAGTGCAGTCTCTGACACACTTCAAAAGTGCCGATGTCCTACCCAGCCCCGTTAAAACCCTGGGGCTGAACATGGTTATTAATTAGTTTGCTTAAAACTCTCCTCAGGACCTTCACATAAGCGACTTCCCCACCAGTCAGTCTCTATTTGCCATCTGTTCAGGTGCTTCCTGTCCTCCCTAGCACAGTCCTCAATTCCTCTCCCCAAGTTTTTGATCTCCTTTTAGTTGAAACTTGGTTCTTTCCTGCTCCTCTTATCTGTCCCAGGTCAGGGAATGTAAACTTGAGTGACACCCAAGTGTGAAATATGAACACATCCGTCTTCCCAAAGAAATTTTGTATGCTGATGGTGGATGAGAGCTGTGTTGGTCTTCCGGCTTTTATGGGCTGGTTTGGGAACTTTACCACCTTGCAAATAGGGTTTCATTTAAAAATTGAGGAGTCTCCTGTGTAGAACAAAAATTCTATTTATATGCTCACTATGCTTAAACTCTACTAAAAAGAGACTTAAACTTACAGAAAAGTATGTGCCAATACATAATCCAGGGCAAGATTTTGTCACTGACCAATTGTTCTCAAACCTAGACCTATTCATTGAACCCTTGGGGACTTAAAAAAACGTACATATTCTGACCACATTCTACATCATTCAAAATACTTTTTCAAATGAGGCTTGAAACCTGGCCCTTTAAAAATGAGCTCTCCAGGAAATGCACGGGATTATGGTGATGGCACATGGGTGATTTGGTGATGGGAAACCCGCGGGGATTACAATCGAGATGGAAAAAAAAATGTACAAAATGATGTAAAAATAAACTTATGTAATAAAAAAATAAAAATAAAAAATAAAAAAAATGAGCTCTCCAGGAGATTGGGATGTGCATCAGAGATGGAGAAGGACTAGTACAGATGAATTTGGAGGAAGGGGAGGTTGGGGCAGGCTGCTGAGGTGGACAGGGCTGCCCCTGGAGGATGCTGTGCTGCTACTGGTCTGCGGCCGCCTCGCCCCACGTGCTGTTTCTTGGCTCTCATCCCCTTGACATCTGGTTGCCAAGGCCTCAGCTCAGACATGTTGGCACCTTCCTCCTTGACCAGGAAGTGTCTGCTGGGGCTGAACTCTAGCTGTCAACATTAATCTCATAGGTGCATTAATCTCCTGGGTCCAGTAACTGGAGTGACACGTGCAATTGGAATGATCCGTCACTTCAGATCAAGGCTCAGTGATCCTGGGGCTGTTTTCTCCTGTCATTCATTTCCTCTGGGTGGTAAGGAAGGTGGGCAGAACTTTCAGACATTAGTCATATTTTCCTGTATCTTTCCTCCTGAAGCTGGAGAAATGAAGGGGGTCAGGGGATGGAGGGTGGAGTCTCCTGGAATGGTGGAGGGATGGAGAGAATGAAGTAGTTGAAATCTGATCAACTCCTGTCTGTCATTACGTGTGGGTTAGTATATGAATGCCTCCCCCAATCCCACTTGATCACTCAGAGTTCGGGATAGGGCTCTTGAGGCCTCTGAGCTGTGGTTTGGGGTGAAGAGCATGAGTTGTGCAAGACCAGCCCTGAGATTTGGCACTTGCATATTGTCATTAGTGTTGTGGGTGGGGAATAGGAACCACCATGTGTTTGGCGCTGTCCGTACATTTTCATGTAATTCTTGCAACAAGCCTATGAAACAGGCCTTATTACCCTGTTTTATAGGTAAAGGAACTTGCCCGCTCATGGACAATAAAGTCACAGCTAGATTCCAACAGTACAAGCCTTTAAATTACACTGCGTTGCTTCAAGTGTCGTATGTTACTTTAGATAGTTAGACCTAAAATGACTTTTCCCCTGCCATAGAATACATTAAGGGCAGTCTCTTGGAATGATCGGGTCAGTTCACTATTAAACTTCAGGACATTTACTAAATTTCCTTTATCGGAGATTCACCTCTATTTATCATTTTGAGATACCCCAGGTAATAGTGGCCTCAAACTATTTTTTGAGACTTAAAGCAACAATTTAAGAAGTGACCAAGAGTGTTGAATAGATTCTCAGATGCACAGAGAATGGATTTTCCAAGGTTGTGATTTCTAGTCATGGCCATTTCTTTGTTACATTGCTAGCGATTCTGACTCTGTGTGAACTTTTCTCCCACAACAAGCATTTCTCCTACACAGCGGGGCTGTTCTACAATTCAGCTCAATTCTGACACTTTCTACTTGGAGATAGAAACAGATCTGACAGGTTAAGGGTTTGATCCAGGAGACAATCCTCTGGGCACCCTCTGGTGCTTTTGAAAATTGGCTACGGATCAGAGGTCCCCACATCCCACCCTCCACCCTTAAGAGGGTTCCATTACTAGAGCAGCTCACAGAGCTGAAAGAAATGTTTTGTGTACTAGATTTGCTTTATCAGAAAAGGATGTAACTCAGGGACAGCAGATGAAAGATACATATGGAAGGGAACCGAACAAAGGTATTTGTCCTGGTGGAGTTTGGGATCTGGCATCATGCATGTGGAAGTATTCCTGTTCACCAACCCAGGAACTTCTGAGCCCCATCTTTTGGGGGGAGGGTTGGAGGCTTCATTCTATAGGCATAGTTGATTTAAGTCGCTGGCTCTGAATGTGTGTGGCACAGAATGGATGGGGACTCAAAGTTCGAAGTGTGTAACTGCATGCTTGGTTCCCATAGTGACCAACCCTTGTCCTTAGATGGCTGGCAGACATTCCAAAGGATGTCACATTGATGAGCAAAAGACACCTTGGTCACTCTCATCACTTAGGAAGCTCCAAGGTTTTTAGAGCTGTGTGCCAGCAACAAGGAGGAAGACCAAATCCATATTTCTTACTACAAACCAGTGTCACAGTTACTATCTCTGTATCTTCATTGACTCATTTCTGACACTAAGGAAATAACAAAACCAAAGAGACTATGCCAAAGTAGAAAATTGCCAGACAAGGTACCTGTATATTTCTTGCTGTTTTTCTAGACAATACCTGGTGTTTTTATAGTGTTCAGTCCTTACTTAGTTTGTGCTTAAACTGCCTTATGAAATAGCTGGAGTAACTACATTTTAAAAGTTCTGTTTTGTGTGAATCTGCCCCTTATTTATTATGAAAAGAATTTGAAGTGGTATAAAAAAGGGTCAAGCCAGAGCAAAAAGGATCAGAGCAAGCAGGACAGAAAAAATATTATAGCAAACATTTGTTGAGAGAGCACAGTTTCAAGTGCTTTCTAGTGTATTAACTCTTTGTTACAACTGCCTTGTGAAGGAGATCCTGTGCTTTTATTTTCCATTTTAACACAAGGAGAAACTGGGGCTGGGTGGGTCAGGAACTTACTCATTATCAAATGGTTACACTCACACCTTCATCAGTAGCCTAGAACACCTCTCTGTTGGTAGCATGGTCCCGGATCTTGCCACCCATCCACAGTAAGAATTACCACATATTTACAGGGGAGCAAAGTGAGCAAAAAGATGGGTAAACGACGTGCCAATGGTGCAAAGCCAGTAAGTGGCATTAACAGAACTAGAATGTTGGTCTGTCTCTGAGGGCTGTGTCTGCTGCTTCACATAGCCTCTTCTTACAATGAAACCCATGTGTCTTTCAGAACCTGGCAGTTGGGGCAGGAGCCGTTGGATCTTTGCAGCTGACCTACATCTCAAAGGTAACGTTCTCTTGGAGCTCTGGAAATTCACGTTCTCTTAAGTAGTTCAGTATCTGAATGGGAAGAAGTATGAAGTCCTTGGGATTGGCATTTGAAGATACTGCTTGGGCGGTAAAGTGCTCCTTCTTCCTCAAGTTTGCCTGTGGAATTCCTGGGAGTGGTGTGTGGTTAGGGAGTTCCCACAGCCCCTTACCTTTGGGAGATACCAGTTCACAGTGCTCCTGCAAAGGAGGGGTAGGTTGGTTTGGGGAGTGGGACATGACCCTCTTTGTAATTGGTAAAAGGAATACACAAGGAACAAAACCGCCAGTGACTATAAAGGAATCTCCCAAAGAGTAGAGTCAATAGGAAAGTGTTGGGGTTGCACTGGAATTTTATCATTCACCTGGACAGGGTTGCTATAGAGGGAAAGCTAAGAATGTACCAGAAGATACTCAGATATGCCAGGAAACTGTTTAATAGCCTCCAGATAACTGCTGGAGAGTCTGGCTATTAGGATAACAGCCATCCCCTCTCCATTTTAGTGCTGAGAACTGGAGGGAGACGCTGCTGGTTGGTGAGGCCTGCCCTGTGCTAAATTCAGCTTTTTTTTAGTAGTCCCTCCCAGAACAGGCACCAGAGCTGACCGGTGATGCAGCAGAGATAAAAACGGCTGGGGGATTTAGAGTTGCAGAAAGAGGAACTCTTTGTCCAGTAAGGAGAGCCAGCTGGCACCTAGCCAGGACTGAGGTTCCGGAAGTCCTGCTCTCCCCATTGCACCCCTCATTTCGGGCCTCTTGGAGACCGCTGCTTTGCTCAGGTTTTCCAACCCTCTGGGGGTTGAGACAGGCGTGAGGGACCCTTATTTACACAGCTCCTGTTTCTTTCTGTAATATTCTGTCTCCTTAGCTGGTCAGAGGGTTAGTTAAAGTGAAGGTGTTGTAAAGGCCACAGGCAGTGCATGGCCATGGCTGTGTAGAAAAGCAGATGACGCAGGGCCCTATCTGAGTGGAAGAGAGGAGACAGTGACCTCAGAGAAACCGAACCAGCCTTTGAAAGCTGGGCTTTGCTAGCATTGCTTCGGGCAATTTGTGCAGGTGTTGTGCCTGGCTGGCCTGAGACCTGGGCGTCCTTCCTCCTGTCCGGTCTTGCTCTGAGCTTGTTAGGTCATTTCTCCAGGATATTAAGGGAGCCTCAGGAATCCCTCCAGAGGTGGGGTGAGGTAGAGAACCTCAATAATAAAGAAACTCAACCGTTAATAAAGACTGAATACAATCTCCTGCAGAAGCATGATTTATAAGCAGGTCTCAGAAAGGGTTTTTTAAATTCTCAGTTTTGTAGTCTGTCTCGTTTAGAAAGGATGGACCTGTTTTTTGTCTTTCCTGGGGAAGGGCAGACCTGGGTGGGCGGTTTTTTTGTTTTTTTTTTTTTTTGCAAAACCCACAGCTGCCACAGGGTCAGGTTACACAAAGATGAGAGCCTTTAACTCCTGCCAGACCCAATGCCATAAAGCAGGGGTTTCCCAGAAAACATTAGCAGTGGGATGGGATCAGAAGCAGCATTCCAAGTCCTTTGCTGTTAACCCTCAGCTCTCCCCTCCCAGAGTAAAGCGTTGAACCTGCGTCAGTCTGGCTTGCTGATTCCATGTGACCTCTGCCGGGGAGGTGCCTCTGCATAGCTGTGTCTTGAGGGCTGGTGTTGGGAAGATGAGGTCCTTCAGAGGCCACCAGAGAGGAAAGCTCTCACGTGAGGTCATCCAGAGCTTTTGTGACGGCAGCGGAACCAGTTTGACTAGAAAATTACTGAAGGTGGCCTTTGGTGCCACCACCAGTTTGTCCGATGGTGCTTCTCCTCTCCAGTAGCCACACTGTCCCACCCACAGGTGTGCCCCATTTCGTCTGAACTTGCCCTCGGTTAGGCAGAAGGAAGACCTTCCTAGAACTAACTTTTTTGGGTGAGAGGGGGGTCCTGGGTCTTTTGGAGAGCCTGATGGCAAGTGCGTATATGTGTTTGCACACTCTGACTTTGCTTGTAGTTCAGGCTGTCGACTCCCTGAAATAGGCCCAGAGATGTCCACTAGAACCCTCCTGATCCTCTGATCCTTCTTGTCCTGCTCTTGATGCCAATTCTTGGGGCAGGGTCTCTCTGGACACTGGGCCAGGGCAGCACCAGAGCTCCAAGACCTTACTTGTTGCTGCTGCTGCCAGAGGGCCCCAGCTCCACTTCCGGCCAAGGCAGACAGGGTGGGGCCGTGAGCAGTGCCCGCCACTGAGAGTTTGCTGCTCTTGTGGTCTGTGTTTGATCTGATAAGAGCAAGTTCCTGAGAGTCTGCTTAGCTGTGGAGGAGCTTCGTCTGCGTCATTCTCCGAGTGCCCGTTGACCCCTCACAGCCCAGCTGCGTGCTGCTTGTGTTACCCCAGGGCCCACCGGTCTACCCTGACATGCAGCTGACTCAACTGGCCACCTCGGGCTATACAGATGGTTGTGCTTGGCTGTCCTCACAGGACTCAGCTGTTAGCCACGCTTCTGTGGGATTCACTGTTCCTTCTGACTGACCTGATCACCATTGTGGGGGTTGGCGGTGGGGGAGAGTGGGTTATCAATCCTGGCAGCAGGCATTCTGTCTTCGCAGTTGTCAGGAGGTCTGGGGAGTCCAGAGCTGCCTCTTGACATAAGTGAGAGTCCCACTGTGGCCCTTGTCTCTGATGGGTGCAGTGATAGGTCAGATTACTGCTTTGTCATGCTGTGACTATAAAAAAGGAGACTAATAATTTTACTCTGGCTCTGCTGATAGGGAAGCTGATCAGAGAAATTGGGGGTCTTTCTTCTGGTAAACAGCCCATGAGGGCAGATGTAGGACATTGATGTCCACTTAACTCAGTAGGGAGTTGCTTGAACAAACCATCCTTATGTTGTAAGCCATGAGGCATGAGGTTAAGTTATACATGTGAGTGTATGTCATCACACACCTCATGACTGAAAACTGGGTAAGGGTATGAAAAACAAAAAACCAGGCAATCTCTTTGAAAACTTCAGTTTGTATTAAGCAGAGGGGCTCAGCATTCTCACAGGGTGGGCTTCTAACATGTGTGATGAGGTGCACCACTCACCATCCTAACAGGTTGAGAAGTGTCTTGAGTGTGCTTTCTCTAATCAGTGGTAGATGGCAGTTCCTAAGAGAAAGGATAGTTCCTAATAAGTCAGGGAGGGCCTCAAAGTTAGTGTTCTATGCTCTTTTAAAACTAAAAGTGGGACCTCCCTGGTGGTGCAACGGGTTAAAACGCAGCATATGAAGCTATCCTCAGCCATTTCAGCACAAGTTCCATCCCAGGTCAGGGAGGTGACCCACATGGTGACCCACATGGTAGACCTCTCCTGTCTCACCCGATGCTCCCCTCAGCAGTGTGTTTCAGTCGATATGCCTGTTCTGTTCCCTATTTTGTCTCTGGTGAATCCTCTCACCCACACCCCACACCTCTAGCCTGTACTCCAGTTCTTGTATAGATAAATAAATAAATAAATCTTCAAAAAAAAAAAAAAAAAAACTGAAAGTACAAGCGGGTCCCTGGGAGAGGTAGGTTCTGAGGCCCAGGACAGTCAAGGCACCTCCCTGATGGTCATGGAGCAGTTCGTGGGCCCTCACAAGAACGTGTATGCCTAAGGACAAAGACAAAAACCAGTCACTGACAGATCACAAACTCCTGCCAGCAGGATGAAAGCACATTCTGTTGGTCAGATTGAACTCTGGTTTCTGAAACTGAACTCTGGTTCTGAAACTCTGGTTCTGGTGCACCAGGAGTGGCAGAGACTTGACTGAATTGGGGAGTTTGTGTCTGAACTCAAGATATATGGGTTTACCTTTGCTTAAATTACAACTATTTTAAGATTTTCTTAGGCCCTCAGGCCTCCACCTCATGGTCCACTTCATGGTCAACCCAGCAAAAAGCACCCACATCCCTCATTAAATATAATTACTTGGCTCTAAATATTTGAAAGGATTTTAATCATTCTACTCTTAGAATGATCTGGCTGTGAGTAGACCATTTAATTTATGATTGGCTCTGATTTCTCTCCAGTCATCTTGCATTCCCGGGGATTTTCAGGGAGTAGGAAAATTGAAGCTACAATTACTTTCAAATGTAATGAAATTTTTGGAATGTTTAATTGAAACATTAATGAAGTTGACTTAATATGACATGTTGTAGGCATTTATTAAGTACTTGATGAGGTTGCTGTCATGTTCTACAAACATTAAACTACTAATGTTGAGAATTCCATAATCATTTTGTGGGTTGGCATCCACACATTTTTCTTTGGGTTGATACCTAGGAGTGGAATTGCTGGGTCATATGGCAGATCCATTTTGTCTCTTGAGAATCCTCCACACTAATTTCCATATAGCTGGACTAGTCTACATTACACCAACAGTGCAAAAGATTTCCTTTTTCTCCATATTCTTTCCAGCATATTCCATATTCTTTCTGGGTTTTTGCTTGCTTGTTTGTTTTTGATATGGGTCATTCCATTTCACTGTGGTTTTGATTTACATTTCCTGATGATAAGTCAGTGTGAACATTTTTCAAATGCCTGTTAGATGTCTTTTCATTTTGGTTACTGTCTGTTTTGCTATAAGAAACTTTTTAGTTTGATGTAATACCAGTTGTTTATATTTTCCTTTGTTTTTCTTGTTGCTGAAGATGAATCTGTAAAGATGTTTTTGAAGTTTATGTCATGGAATGTTTTGCCTTTATTTTCCTCTGTGTATTTTATGGTTTTGGGACAGACCTTATATTTATATTTTGACTTGAGGCTTTTTTTTTTTTTTTTTCAGTTTCTAATATGTCTCCTGTTAAGCAAAAACCACTGAGTCCCTAGATGAGAACTTAAGAGAATGCACTTGGTTGGAAAGGAGATTGAGGAAATTGTCTGAACAGTTCTTAGCCAAGGGCCCAGACAGGGGAAGGAGACTGTCCCCTTAGAAATTTCAGGTACAGGGGTGAAGGCCTGCTCCAGGAAGGGAGGTTCAGTCTCCCTCAGAGTTAGGCATCTAATATGTGTGGGCAAATCTTGAAACAGGAGTTGCTTTACTGCATTTGTCCAGTGCATTCATTCAGATCCGAATAAGGTGAACTCGTGTGTGTGTGTATGTATGTGTGTGTGTGTTATCTATACACATGTGTATATATATATGTGTGTGTGTGTGTGTGTGTGTGTGTGTGTGTGTGTGTATACACCACCTTGAGGGTAAGATTTAAAAACAAGAGAAATAATACAACGGTAAGTGGAAAATATTTCTATTTTTTTATACCTTTCCCTTAAATACACACACAGACTCTTTGATTCCATGAGCTCTTTGGGCACATAGAAATTGCTAATTTTCATGATTAAGTAATAAGCATAGATACAAAGAAAATTGATCAGTGGTTCCAAATGTGGTGAGTGGTATGCTGCCTCACGTTCGGAAGCTTTGAATGAAATTATATGTATTTGTAGCAATACATCTTCAATCTGGAAAACTGTTTAGGGAGGTGACTTGGGGTTTGAGAGAGGAGTAAAATATTGCCAAATGAGGATGTAATCAGCACAGAGATTGTGGTCCAAAGAGAATTTTATCAGGAATTTGTGGGTTTTGTCAGGATTTAGGATTCAGAAGATGAACACAAGCACCAAGGTAGTGGTTATCCCTAAAGAGGGGGAGGGTAGCATCATAGAAGGGCTACTAAGACATAAGAATGATAGTCACCTGTTCATCTGGATGGTGAATGCAGGTTTCCACTTAACCATTATTTTTTAAAATGCCCATTTGTATTTTATATAACCTTGTTTATATATGAAAAGTTTCACAATTTAAAAATCTGGAAAAAAAATGTTTTACGACCCTGTTAGAAACATATTTATTTTTTTTCTTTTTTAAATTTGATTTAGGTGAGCATAGCTACCCCAAAGCAGAAGCCAAAGACTCCATTTTGCTTTGGTAAGTACTGAACTGGAGGGTGGTGAGGGTGAACTCTCCTCCAGTGACTTCCTCTTTGGTGTAGAGACAGTCCTGTGATCCCATGTGACTTCTACTCTGCACATATGAGTGACTTCAGTCACAGTGATGTTCCTGGGCCTCAAGGGATAGAAATTGTTTGCTTTGGTCTCATTGCAGAGATTGTTAACAGGGACAGAGGTGCAGAAATGAGAATGTTTTCAGTTTTTCTGACTCTGTAGTGTACATGGTGACTTGACCTCATCTTTAACTTGTTTCTAGGAACTTTCATCTCATAGCAGAATAATAATAGTGTCCTCAGAGAAGGTGGCGTCTGGGAGAAATTCCGGGGGCGGGGGGTGCTGGTATCAGGAAGAGGATAATAGAAATGAGTATCTTGTTGTATCAGGAAGAACATAATAGAAATGGAGTATCCCATTGAGGGCCTTAGTTACCAGATGGTGACATTGTGTGGGTGACATAGGGACTGAGTTGCTCAATAGGTGCCTCAAGTCATTGAATTGTTAATGTTGGGGTTCCACTATATTCTCAGTACTGTAGTAAGTGCTATGAGCAAATACTAACGAATAGTTTCTCTTATATCTCTAGGATGGTTCTAAATGTAAACTTCATTAGGCAAGGATCTTGCTATAATATTCCACGACTGTATCCTCGATGTGTAGAGTGGTTCCTGACATATAGTGGGTATTCAACAAATATTTGTTGAATGAATTGTGGGAACTAACAAATTCTATTTCTACCCCTTGATGCTCACTTCTTATAGCTCAGACTTATTAATACTAGACAAATAAAAGGATTCTTGAATGGTCCTCTTTCCAAGCTCTTTCAAGTTGGTTCATACTCCTATGGTACTCTTAATTCTCCCATGTCTTTGAAATATTGCTAAACTCAAAATGACTCAGATTTTGAGGCCAGCAGTTCTAAAACAATCATCATCATCATCATCATCATCATCATCATCAACCCAGAAGTAAGTTGTTGACCTCATAGGGTGTTCAGAGGAAAAACAAGTTAAAAATGAGGTCAAGGTCACAGATTTTATCTCAGGCAAGTTTTGTTCCACTTCCTAACCACATTCAAGACTCCTAAACAGGCTAGTTGTACCAGAGGAAACAAGATACATTGTCCAAACGTGTCTGTAGCCTCATGACTGCAAGTACCGTAGCTCCTCTAAATGCCATTCAGCTCTTCTTGTGGATAAATGGTGGACTAGCAACCTCATCAGTGTGCAGCAGCTCAGTAAGGCTGTTGTCTGGTGTTGGGCTTCTTTCTTGTGGCCAGTGGAACAGCCCAACATTAAGAGAAAAGAAAGCCCTGGTAACCTTCTGCTTCCCAAGTGTTCATGTGAGTGACTTAACACCATGGGAAATTTCTTTGTAAGGATCTCTGCTTTGCTATCTGAAGCACCTTGATCTTGTGGAGTGTTTTTTGTGTTGCATGTGTTCTGAGCTGGGTTTTTCTTCCTCCTTTCCACAATTTTGCAGTCATCAATGCCCTGTCTCAGAGGTATTTTCTTCAAGCCAATGACCAGAAAGATCTGAAGGACTGGGTTGAAGCCCTGAATCAAGCCAGCAAAATCACTGTACGTATGATCCTTTTTCTTTTCTGGAGGGAAGTAAGTGCCTCTTCCTACCATGGGGGTTGGGGGAAGAACACAGATGGCAGTAGGGCCATTCCCAAGAACATATTCCACACCCAGCTTCCCCTGACACCTAGCTTTCTTTGTACACCTTGGCTAATTAGCCACAAGTTGACTGTGAGTTTGTGTATGAATCAAGTTCAAGGGGAAGTTTAGAGAGTATCTCTTTGTGCTTCCTCAGAGGACTCCTGGCTAGTCATGTTGTGAGTAATTCTGGGATGCTGATTCAGTGTGGTGGGATTGGAAAATGAATTACTGGCTGTGAGAAGTAAAGGGAAAAGCATATAAGAGGGAAACCTGAGTTATTCCCAGCTTTGGTGAAGGGAGTGGAACTTTTCTTTCTTCTGTAAGAAGTTACAGGGCAGGGAGCTTGGGGTTTTAATCAAATCCACCCACCAGTCTATCATGGAGAAAAGCTTTTCTTTAAAAGCATCACTGAATTAGTTCTCTGACCATTATATGAGTTCTCTCATTTTCCTTGACTTGATGATGGGAATTCCTTCCCTAGAAGTACAGAAAATGCAAGGGAGAAGGGTAGGAAGGAGGAGAAGGAAAACACAAGTTTTGGTGAAAAAAGCTAGACCTTTACCCAGTGTGGACAGACTTCTGGTATATAAATTAAGGTGTGTATGCTGTGAAGCTGGATTTTTCACATTGTACAGTTAGGAACGCTTACAGTCTGATGACTTCCAATAATAACCGTCAGTGAACTGGAGTGGATTACTCTCCCATATTCCCCAGCATTCCCATGAAAGAACTAATAGAATAAATCTGTATGCCTCTCCAACACTAATGATTCTGGACCCAAACAGAGTACAGTTTAATCAGCGAGGCACTTTTGCTTGTTAGCTTATTATTCTGATGAACCTGTGAAAAAAGAGAAATGGTGGGAGGGAAGGTGCTGTTAACTTACATGTCTGCTAACTTACCATGTGCTTGTGGATAAGGCTGTGGAAAATTTTCTTCATTCAGCTTGGGGTCTTCACCCTTCTGGGTTCTCCACAATTTTCATCACTGTCCAACAGTTTGTTCTCATTCAGTGTTTCCTCCTGGATGTCTACCTGTTCTCCTGACTGGAGAGTGTTATCCAGCCTGTGAGACAGAGGAGAGCCTCTTACCTTCCTTCAATGTTTTGAGCATAGAGTGACTCTAAGCTACTTTCCCTCTGCTTTTTTTCTTGGATAAAGAAAATGGAGATCACAGAGTCTTGTCCCAAGTCTAGAATTTAGTAAATGTAGAGCTGAGATTCAAGCCAAGACTTAAGAGTTTACAGGAGTTTATAAAAGTATTAAAAAACAAATGATGGTTGTAAAATGTGAGATTACATGGCACTTTTACATACATGCCTTCATTTTAGTCTCATAAAAAACTTAACTAGGAAAGGCAAGTATTATTATTCCCTTTTATAAATAAGGAAATGGAAATGCATAGAGATGAAAGTGACTTGCACAAGGTCATGCAGCCAGGATGGACCCAGTTTTTCTGGCCTCAGATCACTATTCATTTTATGCTAAGGGTCACTGAGTCCTGATGGTTGAAAAAAGCAATTGATATGTGGATTTTAGAAACTAGAGTCTCCCAGACCATTTGTATTCTTGTATTACTTTTCAAAGTCTATCTGTTAACTAACTGGATGACTTAAAAGAGCAGAGATTTATTCGCTTATAATTCTGGAGGCCAGAAATTTGAAATTGGTTGGCAGCAGTGACCTGACCCTTTTCTTTACTGCCTGGGAGATCTTTCCTTGCCCCTTCCAGCTTCTTGTGGCTCCTGGCAATCCTTGGAACTCCCTGGCTCATAACTGCGTTACTTCACCTCTGCTTCCATCATCGTATGGTCTGCGTCTCTCGCTGACCTCTCCTCCTCTTATAAGGACATCAGTCATTGGACCGAGGACCCACCCTAAACCAGTATGACCTCATCTTAATTTAATTACATCTGCAAAGGTTCTTTTCCAAATAAGGTTACTTCTGAGGTTATGGATAGACAATTCGGAGGGGGTGCATTATTCAACTCACTACCTTCCCAAAGTGAGTTGAAAATTGAGCAGTAAATCATAGCTCTTTCTACTGCTCCCCCCAGTCGTAAGTCCTTGAAAATTTCATTTCACATTGCAAATTAAGTCCAACAGAGAACATTCCATAGGTGGATAGAAGAAGAAACAGCTTTTATTAGAACTCTGGGAGATGGATGACCATAAAGAACAACCTGGCTTTTTGAGCCCAGGAATACAGTTATTGCTGGGTTTGTGCTCCACAGACTGATTTGGAAGCAGCCCACCGTGCAGGGAAGGGCATGAACCATGACCAGCAGCGGCTCTCTGAGTGGGATGCGAGATTCCGAAAAGTAATAGGACAGCCAAGGCTTTGGTCAGTGGGAACTTTCAAAGGCTACTTACCTATTTTTCTGGATTTTAGGAACCCATTAGGATCATTCAGAGGGAATTCCTGCTGTTCTATAGTAACTATATCACAAAACCCTTAACTATAATGAATACCTCTGAAGAATTCTATTATGAACCCAGAGTTAGGAAGGGTGGCAAAGCAGACAGTGGGGTGTCAGGCAGTCCTAGGGGTAAGTTATTTTATTTTAATGAGTTTTCATTTACTTCACCTATAAAGTGGAGACTGTCATGCCAACTTAGAAGGTTGCTTGAGATCCGAGATAATGCAGGAACATTTAGCACATTGCTTGGCACTGAATTGGAAGGCGTTTCCTACTGAATTGCTAGGAAAGGCAAAGAAATGGAAGCTACTGTTTTCCTGGGGCAACTGGAGAAATAAAGAAGATGCATTTCTGGCTCCATCTAGAGAGCTGGTGGACAGAGGTCACCCTTGCTTCTGCAGACTGAGGCAGACCAGGGAGAAGGGGCCTCAGAGTCTTCCTTGTGGGGCCCTGGTATAATCACGGTGGCCTTCTTCTTTTGACAGGAGACCACACAGAGTGGTCCCAGGTCTCTGAGCTTTGACACCATTCTTATGTGACACTGAGCTACAAGCTTTTGAAAGGCCTGGATCTTATGGCTTTTGACTCCTGAGGTTGGAGACGCAGGAGCAGACCAAAGCTTTTCTCATGAGGTCTGCAGCGACCTTACTGGCAGATGACCCAAGGCATTGACTTCTTGCAAAGGGGAGGCTTTGTTATGCTGTGGCCCCCCACACCGCTGGGTGACATGGTCTAGTCTCTTCCGTTATTTATCATGACTTTGGGTAAATGTCTCAACTGCCTGAGCCTCTCACTTTCTTAGACAACGAAAACTTTCATTGGAGTTTACCAACTGATATCAATGAGGTGGGCAGGGAGGAAGAAAGGCAGTGACATTGCAGGAATGGCACCTGAAACATGGCCTCCATGTTGGGGAGATGTGACATGCTGAAGAATACGTGCCTTCCTACAGAGAAGATGACCTCTTAGCTGGACATCTGAATTTTTATGTGAAATACACCAAGTTTTACAATGTTAATTGAAAAACATTTTCTAGGGCGTATAGAACACAGTGAAGGGTGCTTTTGGGCCACCAGTTTGCAACCTGTGGCCTGTTGATCTTAAAAATTCTGTGATTATTTTATCAGAATAATGAGAGAGGAGAGATGGTAACTCACTTTTCAAAGTCTATTAGTAAATGTTAGTAGCACCGTAATACTTTTATGTGTTTCTGAAGCTTTGGAATGTCTATCATGATAACCGTAGCAACTTTATAACATACATTTTATTCCTCTTCTCATTTTATCTGCCAGACACTTTGGATGTACAGAATGCAGTTTTCACGTTTTGCTTCAAGTCATTCAGTTAGTGACTGGATCAGGAATTCTATTCCAACGCACCTAAGCTCCAAAAACCCTTGCCCTGTAATTCTATACCAAGGTCACATTTGTAGGGTCTCCCTGCTTCACTTTTGCCTGCCTCGTTTCTGTTTTGACATCTTCTCTGGAGATCCCTACTCTCTGCTTTAGTAGGTACATTGACCTTGGACAGCACAAGTTTGAACTGCAAGGCCCACTTGTGTGGGTTTTTTTTTAACCAAGTTTAACCAAAAGCAGGTGTTGGCTAGCTGAGTCCGTGGAACCTGTGAATACAGAGTGACTATGTTACTTGGAGTTTTGACTCCGTGGGAACCAGCTCCCCAAACTGAGGCCTTGTTCAGGGGTCCCTCCTACTCTTTACCTCAGCTGCCATTTATTTTCTTTGTTGAACTCACCATGATTTGTAATTATTCTGTTTGTTTTCTTTGCAATTTTCTATTTCTTTAAGATGTATTTATTTATGCATACAGAAATGGGGTATAAGTCGGAGATACAGGGGCAGTGAGAGGATCCACCAGAGACAGAGTGGGGAGCAGAACAGGCAGAATGACAAAGCACACTGCTGAGGGGAGCAGTGGGCGGGTCAAGAGAGCTCTGCCGCGCCATGTGGGTCACCTCTGGGGCCGGGGATCCAACTTGCACTGCAGCAGCTGTAGCTAGCTTGCAGTACTGCGTCCTTACCTGTTTCGCCACCAGGAAGGCCCCTGCTTTGCAATTTTCATCAATCTCCACACCATGTGCACGTGGCGGATGGGGAGGCAGGACATGTGTCCATCCAGTTTGCTGTCCCATCTTTGTCTGTAGCCACAGAAGGGCTTGCTCTCACTAGGTGCTCAGTACACTTGTGGAGTGTGTGTATCTGTGTGAGAGTGGGTGAGGTTCCTGGTACTACCCCCTCTTTGGGGTGTGGGTGGGTGGAATGCCTGTGATTGGTAACCTTATAGCTTCTCACCCCTCCCCCATTCTCTTTTGGCTTACTGTTTTCCCAAGTCTTTTGTTTCTTGTTGACCAGGCTCTTATTCTTTCCAGGTACCTAAAGTGGGGAACCTGCCCCTGGCTCCCGAAGTTCTGAAAAACCTAACAGCTACCCCAACCCTAGAGAAGAAGCCACAGGTGGCCTACAAGACAGAGATCATTGGCGGGGTGGTGGTGCACACACCCATCAACCAGGTGCGGGGCCTGGGCTGTGGGGGCAGGGCCGCATCCATGTGCACTGGGGTGTGCTGGAGGGTTGTATCGAGAAGAGAGTGAGTGGGAGTGAGGGAACCAAGGCTGATGGGGTACTCAAAAATAAATAACTAAATAAATACAGACAGGAGGGTGTGAGTATGGCGGTGCAGAAATAGAGGCCACTGTCAGGAAGCCGTGTGGCCTCTCACTGTGGCTCCCGAGAAGACTAGTCTGCGTAACAGTTTTCTCATAGAGGAAAAGAAAGAGCAACTTAGTTCTGCACCATCCACGGGGGCTGGCACCCATGGGAATGGGGGCTGAGGAAGGCAATTGAGACCTGAAACTCCTCTTCTGGTTTGCATTTTCTGTCCTTCCCTTTCTGCTCAGCCTCCTGGAGTCTTGCTCTGTGAAAGCAAGTACAGTGCCTGCCGGGAGCAAAGTAAATGTTTTCTCATTTATTTCTTTTTTGACTGACATAAGTGGAGGGGGGAGGTGCTAATCCTGCTTATGTTTCCTCACAGAATGGTGGCGATGGGCAGGAAGGAAATGAGCCAGGGTCCCATGCCATCCTCCGAAGGTCTCAGAGTTACATCCCCACGACAGGCTGCCGTGTTCCTACCGGGCCCCCCCTTATTAAAAGCGGCTACTGTGTGAAGCAAGGGAATGTGGTGAGTGTCCGCACAGGGGCTGGAGGAGGTCTTGATGACTCCTGGGGTGTAGCAGCGGGGAGAGGAGGAACTTGGTCTTCCCAGCTTAGGTATCTTCTAAACTGGTGCAGCTTGGTGGAGACATTCACTCCTGTAGTCAGAGGCTTTGCCCCTGATGGGAAGAACTCTTTGCATCCGGCCGAATGTGGGGGGTATAGCTTCCATCCTGGGGACCTTGGTCCCCAGGACACCCTCCATTTGGAATGCTGAGTTCTCTTCCTGATGTCTGGCCCTTTCATTTAATTTCAGCGGAAGAGCTGGAAACGTCGCTTCTTTGCACTGGATGACTATACCATATGCTACTTCAAGTGTGAGCAGGTCTGTAGTAACTCTGGGACTCTTTTGGGGGTTCAGAGCAGAGAGAGGCTCACGTGGACCTACTGAGACGTGTGCATGAGCACACAGAGTCAGAGGTGCCCCGTCTTACCCTTCTATCCCGTGTGCACATTTTCATGGCGATATCAAACTGGCCCAGACGTCATCCCTCCTGCTCTGCAGTGTGCTCAGAGCCACAGAGCATCTTCTTGGATATTTTCCCTCACCCCTTGACTATTTTGAGACCTTGCCTTGTTTGCACCTTGGCGTTAGCCGACCATCTCTGATGAGAGGACCAGCGGTCAGCTGGTTAGGATGTGGCATTATTCAAAGAGCCTTATTTACCTGACTTTTCATTTTTTCCCAACAGGACCGAGAGCCACTGCGCACTATATGGCTTAAGGATGTTCTCAAAACCCACGAGTGTCTGGTCAAATCTGGGTAATTGTTTCTGTCTGTTCTTTTCTGGTCTATTCATTTGTCCTCTCAAATCTTCATTTACTATCCTTCTGAGACGAGTCTTCTTCCCAGGAGTGGGTGTGAGTCACCATGTCCACACTGATGCAGTTAGAAGAACACACTGGAAAAATGATCCCTTTTCTGTTACCTTATTATCTCACAGTGGCTCCTGAAAAGATGAGTCTTTATAATAGTTTTCTGATCGAGAAAAGAAAGAGCAACTTAGACAGTGGGGCTGAGCTGCTTTATTTATGCCCGCAGAGCTGTGGTACAGGCCAGAGGTGCAGGGGCGGTGTGAGGCTTCACCAGAGGCAGAGTGGGGAGCAGAACAGAACTCAGACTGAAGCCGCTGCTGCAGCTTGCAGTGCTGCATCCTAACCCACTGTGCCACCAGGGAGGGCCCAAGTGACTGTGCTTTTAAGCCGCTTCCTTTCTCTCCCTCCCCGTCCTCACCTTTCTCTCTCTCTCCTCTCCTAGATGCCTCAGATTCACTAGCATTTTAGCACTTCTGGTCAGATCACTGTTCAAGTCAGTATTGCCTCCTGAGTTTCTTATGACTTTTCTCTTCTTTGACAAAGTCTCTGATGTCCCATTAACTCAAGGGTGATTCACAGTAACTCTGTTACTGTTACTCCCACAGTAACTCTGTTACTCAAGTCAGTATTGCTTTTGAGTTTCTTATGACTTTTCTCTTCTTTGACAAAGTCCCTGATGTCCCATTAACTCAAGGGTGATTCACAGTAACTCTGTTACTCCCAAGGGTAGGAAGAACAAGTATTTTTAATGCTTTCCTCTTTCTGCATGGTTGCCCTCCAAGTGCCACAGTGAGTGGGGTGACATTGGGAGTGCCTACGCAAGGCATCCCCTGTGTCACTATCAGGTGTAGATGCACCTAGAACTAAACTTTAGAAATTCCCAGGATGTCCTCATTTTGGCCCTCAGTCTGCTGTCCTTTTTTTTTTTTAAGATTTACTTATTTATGCAAGAATTGGGGTGTAGGGCAGAGGTGTGGGAAGTGAGGGGATTCACCAGAGACTGAGTGGGGAGTAGAACAGATCGACTGAAATAACACTGCTGAAAAGAGCAGCCAGCAAGACAGAAGAGGTCTGCCATGCCACATGGGTCACCTCCCTGGCTGGGGAGAGAACTGCAGTAGTGGCTGGTGATAGCTTTATAGCGCTGAGATGTTAACGCCTGCACCACCAGAGAGACCCTCAATCTGCAGTCTTTCAGGACTCTGTGTATCTCTCCATTGCATGGATGGGGCAGGAATAGTCAGCATCATCAGAGAAGCTGTTAGCTGTGGGTAGACTAGTCTCATATGAAGGTGTGGAAAGTCTTGAATGAAAACAAAATGCTTTATAACTCAGGGAAGCAGGGACTGAAAGGGGACTAAACATTGGCAGTTGCAGAGTGCAGAAGGTTAGGAACATTCCCAGTGACCCTTTGTAATTTATGAAAGTAGCTAGAATGGAAGTTCCAAAGTGTGAGTCTGCAACAGGAGAAGGAAAGTTTGGGCATGACTGGATCTTTGGGGATGGCTCCTGATCCCAGAGGGCTGTGCAGATAAATGTCAAACCCCCTGTGCATGTTGGGGCAGCTTAGCAAACTCAGATCAGCTTCCATTCAAAGAGCATTTTGCACTTTGCCTATAGCTGCAGCTGTTCAAGTGAGGAGATCTGAACAAAGAGCAGTGAAGGGAGTTAAAGGTCACCAGGGAAGGAGTCCTCAAGGCTCAGCAGGTCCGAGGGAGAGGCTCTGTGACCCTGCCCAAGCCCAGGCAAGCAGTTTAGGGTGCCTGGTAGTCAACAGAAGTTTGTTCTGTTGAAAGGAAGCATGTAGCCTGAGGGTGGATGTGAAAGGGTGGGGATTTCCTCCCTGTCTGGCTTCCCCCTTACTACAGTACATGGGCCTAAACAGGTTAAAGGTTAAAGCACTTCAGCCAGAAAGAAGAGTCATCTCTACTTAGAAACTCAGAAAGTCATTGCAATAGTGAAATGTGTACTAAAACCATGGTTCTAGGACATGCCTTTCACCAAATGCCGGTGAGACCTAGTCTTGGATCTTCCTCACGGCCAGCCTCAGAGAGGAGGTCCTCTTACCTCCATTGTACACTAAAATGCCTTTTCCTTAACTGGAGTAGGATGTGGCTGCAGGTTCTTTAGTCTCCTGCTCCTCCTTTGCCTTGGGGACCATGGCCATGTCCAGGCACCAGCCGTCTCCCCCCAGTTCCTCATTCAGGAAGCCTCGCCTGCCCTCGGCCAGTCCTTTCTTGTGACTGGTCTACCCTTGGGATCTACTCTACTCATGGGCCAACATCTGCCTGTATATTTCTGGCTTTTTTTTTTTTTTTTTTTTTAAGATTTGTTCATTTATACATACAGAACTGGGGTACAGGCCAGAGGTGCAGGGCAGTGAGAGGATTCACCAGAGACAGAGTGGGGGAGCAGAACAGGCAGATCAATGAAGTACACAGCTGAGGGGAGCAGCGGACGGGCCAGGAGAGGTCTGCCGCGCCATGTGGGTCACCTCCGGGGCAGGGGGGAATTGAACTCATGCTGCAGTGGCTGCAGCTTCCATGCCTCAACCTGCTGCGCCACCAGGGAGGGCCCTTTTTTTTTTAAAAAATATTCTTTAATTGTGGCCCTCCCTGGTGGCGCAGCGGGTTAAAGCACTGCGCTAAGAAGCTAAAGCCACTTCCACATGAGTTCTATCCCCGCCTGCCCCGGAGGTGACCACATGGCGAGGCAGACCTCTCCTGACCCGCCCACTGCTCCCCTCAGCAGTGTACTTCGTCGATCTGCCTGTTCTGCTTCCCGCTCTGTCTCTGGTGAAGCCTCTCACCCTCCGCATCTCTGGCCTGTACCCCAGTTCTGTACAAATAAATAAATAAATCTAAAAAAAAAATATATTCTTTAATTGAGAGGGAGTTAGTATTTTTTTCCATCTTCATATAGTCCCCACCATAGCAGGGTATACACAGCAGGGATTCAGATACACTCAGTAATTTTGATGGATTCGAGGCTTATCATCAGTTTCTTCTCATGCCCTTCTTTGAAGAAGTTGGGATCTTCTAAAAATCATACCCAATTCCAATTAGTCTCCCTCGTTTTTCTCCTTCAACATTCTGTGTCCTTGCTATAATGAGATTCAAAACAGGAACTTAATGAAGCTGCTTGGATGAAGTGAAGCTTTGAAAATGAAGAGTTGGCTTCTTTAGGATAAGTAGACAGTAGTGGCCTAATGAAAAGCATCAGGCTTGGGATGAGACATGGATTCTAATTCTGCTTTTTACTTAATCCAATGCTGTGATCCTGTCCGAGACAAGGTTTCCTCATGTGTACAGTGGAGTCTTTTTTTTTTTTTTATAATTTCTTTATTTGTATATATATTTTAAGATAATATAATAGCTTATTTTTACATCATTTTGTGCATTTTTTCATCTCAGTTGTAATCCCCATGGGTTTCCCATCATCAGATCACCCATGTGCCATCACCATAGTCCAGCGCATCTCCCTCCCCCCACTGTTTTTGATCCCATTCCCCACTCCACCCCTACAAAATGTCTCTGGTATAAAGCTGTTCATTATTATTGTTATTTTCTTGCCTGGGCCGTTATATTCCTGCTATGAGTGAAACCATCTGGTAATTTTCCTTTTCTTTCTGGCTTATTTCACTAAGCATGATCTTTTCCAGCTCCATCCATGTTGCTGCAAAAGTCATGTGTTTATTTTTTTTCGATTGCTGAGTAATACTCCATTGTGTATATGTACCATATCTTTTTAATCCAGTCACCTACTTTTGAGCATTTGGGCTGTTTCCATGTCTTTTCTATTGTAAATAAAGCAGCAGTAAACATGGGGGTGCAAGTGTCTGAATCAGTGTTTTTGTGTCTTTTGGGTAGATACCTAGGAATGGGGTTACTGGGTCATGTGGAAGCTCCATTTTTAGCAGTTTGAGGAACCTCCAAACAGTTTTCCATAGTGGTTGTACTCATTTGTATTCCCACCAGCAGTGCAGGAGAGTTCCTTTCTCAGTGGAGAGTTGCTTCACTGGATTATTTTGAAGATCAGGTGAAATAACACAAAAAAAATGTGCTCAAAGAGCAGCCTGGGAGTTGGAAGGGGTGGGAATGGGCAACAGAGTGAAGGTGCAAACTTCACATTATAAAATAAATAAACTTTAGGGGTTGTCATTAGTAATACTGTATTATGTACTTGAAACTCCAGCAGAGAGTACATGTTAAAACTTGTGATTACACGAAGAAGTATTATAACCATATGTGTTGATGGATGGATGTCAACTAGACTTACGCTGATCATTTTGTGATGTATACAAATAACCGATCATTATATTTTATATATCAGAAACTAATGTTATATGTCAATGTTAGTTCTTTCTCTTTCCACATATATAACCAGTAACATTTTCATCTACTCGAGCATAAAAAAAGACATTCACAAAATTTCTCTGCACAGAGCACTTCACACATCATGGCCACTAGAAACACACACACAACTGTAGGCTTTGTGGGGTGTGTGGACATAGAATAGGAGACTTTAGAGGGAAAGGTGCTTTATCTTGTTCCAGCTAGTGTGTGTTGATGGGGGAGTCCACTGGGATGGTGCTAAGATCCTCTAGAAAGTAAAACTAAAGGAAATTCCTGTCTTTTTTTGTTTTGTTTTCTTTTCATGTCTTAATTTTTAAAAAATACTATAATGGTTTTTTTTTTTTTACACAACATTTGGTTCGTTTTTTCATCTCAGTTGTAATCCTCCTATCATGTTTTTTGAGGTAAAAGTTGAATGGGGGGAGACCCGAGAACCCCATTTTCATGGTTGAGGGCACTGTTGCTTTGACTTAGGACAAAGCAAGTCCTCAGAGTGTGCACCTATTAACTTTATTTCTCTTTCCATTTAGTGATCTCTTAATGAGGGACAACCTGTTTGAAATAATAACGAGCTCCAGGACCTTCTATGTGCAGGTAACAATCTCCCTCTGAGAAGACTTGACATTTGCTCCGTACCTGTGAGTGGTGTACTCATTGGCCTTGAACTTTCCTTTGCTTTCTCTTTAATTTTGTTTGAAGTTTCTAGGGGGTAAATTTAGCTCTGATAGCCCTATTTTACCCTAAACAGGATGTTTGCCAGAAGTTTCCCAACCATAAAATAAGAGCAGGTTGAGCTACTGTATTGGGGAATGTGAGTTTGTAACAGCTGCTCTCAGCTGCTGTATGCCAACTAAGCAGAGAAAAGGAGAACTGGTCACTGGTTTCACTTCTCCTTTGGCGGGTATTTATAAGCCCCCTCTGTGTGTGGACATCACTGTGTACGGAAGGATAAAAGCACAGAGGGCCCTGTGCAAGCTCCAGGTGCAAAGCCCAGCTGCACAGAGGACGCCATTGTTTCGGCTGTGATGGTTCAACTATCAGAAGCTTTTCCCTTCCACCCACAGCTTTGGAATCCTCCCAGCTCCTAAAATCATAGGAGCTAAAAAGGCAGCTATCCAAGCAGGCCTAGACTTTGGGGGCCAAGTCCCTGCCCCAGCCTTCTTAGCCATCCAGAGTGTGACTGGATCCACCAGCGGCCTCACAATGCAGCATTTCTAGTGCTGAAACTGCCATGCAGTGGGTTGGTTTAAATATGGGCTCCCCAATCAAATCTGTGCTGTTTCTTCTTTGCTCCAAGTCTTATTCCCCACTAAACGCTCTCACTTCCACAGGGGTCATCTCTTCCCCTATTTCTTGGACAAAAGCTTGGTGTTGTCCTCAGTCTCTCTGAGCCCAGCAGATGTTCAAGCAGTCTGCTCATTCAGACAAACATGTGCGTGTGGGAAGAGGGGGTGTTTGTAGCTGTGGGAAGGTTCCTGGGTGTCTTAGAGCAGGCCCCACTGTCAATTCAAAACAAAGTTAAAACTGAGTGCCACAGAAGATTTCTCAGTTTTTGCACTTAATAGATCTATGCAGGATATCCTCAGAGTGTCGGGTATTTTGGGTACACTGCCCTAACATGAGAGAGTGAATTTGACTCAAATAAACAGGCAGTTATAACAGGATGATGGGCGGCGGGGGAATGTTGGAAAGATGAGTGTGTGAATTTTTAGGGCAGTAATATTCTGTAACAATATACTGGCCAGGTACACAAAAATAGAAGTATGTAGCACAAGTGTAAACTTCAGTATATGAGAACTTTAAAAAGCATTTAGGCTCTCAGGTGATCCCAAGCTTAGAATGCAGAATATGTCAAAAGAACTAAATATATTGAAAGAACTAAGATATATTGATGGTGTGAAACCACCTTATGGAAGGGGGAAAGGAGAGAACAGATAAGAGCTAAAACAAAATAACAGAGTGGTGAGTGCAACCCTACGACTGAGCAGTGATTACCATGGAGAACTCAGGAGCAGGACACCTCCTCTTTTTCAGGGAGTCCAGGGTAATTCCCTGATAGTCACATCTAGGCTCATTCAGTTGCGGGAGTGGCTCAGGCAGCAGGAACAGCACTTTAACAAATGCGTAGGGAGAGGGAGAGACCAGGCCACCAAGAAGCCTGGAACAGGTACAGAAGGTCCATGACCTTGCAAGCCTTCTTATCCTAAAGGGTTGGACCCTTCCAGGTTAACAAAGGCATCACCCAGTCAGCTCTGCCTTCTAAAAACGCCACTTAGACAAGTGGCCTAATTGAGCCTGGTTTTCCTTACCTGCGAAGTGGAGATGATAGCCTCAACCCTAGTGCCTCACATGGCATGCTCTCAGGGAATCAGGTGCCCACATGAGAGGGAGAGGTAGGCATGTGAGCGGCCAGTTTGAAGGCTGTCACAGTCATTTAGGTGAGTGGTAAAGGGTAGGAAAAAGTGGAAAATTTGAAAACTACCGAAGGTAGAGTGCTTTCTTGGACTTAAAAATTGGTTGCATGTGGGGTGGAGGGAGAAAAGAGAGGAAGGGATTTTGGCCAGATGTTTTGTCTAGGCCTCACTCAGAGTGGCTGAGTGACAAATCACTGTGGACATGGAAGAAAAACTAGTCTTCCACGAAAGACAAGCTTAGTATAGGCGACTCCTCTTTTACAATGTCTGTGAAACTTCCCAGGGGACTTAAACTGAAGACCATCAGATTTATAGTGCCTGACCTATTGGTGCTACTAAGCAAATACCTGTCAGGTGAACGATTATGTTGGGTAAGAGTTTAGGACAGAGGGTCCTCCCGGGTGGTGCAGTGGGTTAAACGCAAGCTATCTAGTGAACCTCAGGCTCTGCAGCATGAGTTCAATTCCCCGCCAAGGAGGTGACCCGCATGGCGTTGCAGACCTCTCCTGACCCGCCCACTGCTTCCTTCAGCAGTGTACTTCCTCGATCTGCTTGTTCTGCTTCCCACTCTGGCTCTGGTGCTCTTCTCACCCCCTGTACCTCTGCCCTGCACCCCAGTTGTTGTTATTTTACATAAATAAATCAATCTTTTTTTTTTTTAAAGAGTTTAGGACAGAGCTTTGGACTGGAGCTAGTGATCTGGGAAATTCAGAGCCCCCAACAACAAGTAATATTCAAAAGACATGTGCACATTTATTATCGCTTTTGTCCTCTTTTGCTTTCTGCTCCCACAATTATGGAATAGAAGCTCAGTAACATCACCCTGAATAAATAAATGAGCAAGCAGACAAATCCATTTATAGTACCAAACTCAAAAGAGAATGGAAAGTTAGAGGCTGGATTAACAATCATTAAACATATGCAGTCATTCATTTCAAAATAAACTCATTCATGTCAACACAGTAATATTTTATGAAAAATAACAAACATTCCAAAATAAAGCAACAAGAGTAGCACCATTTCTATGTTTTGCCAATCTCTTTAATGATTAGCTTAATAGAAGACATTGGGCTTCACATAGCTGCTCTGAACCTCCACCTGTGGTTGTTTGGATTGAAGGATGTGATGGAAATCTGACCTTGCACACATAGGGATTTGGGAAAAAATATTTTAATAGTTCTTCAGATAGTTGTGAATATTTTTAATCTGTTTCTATACCCAAACTGGGTAGTTTCTTAATATTTAGGTGAATGTGGACTCTGGAACCAGTATCAGTAAATTTTCATACTCTCTCATTAAGATCCATTTGCTCTTGTCCACTTGTTCATTTGCCCACGTGTGATTTTGTAACAGCATGCACTGGTCATTTAGGAGGTATGCCAGCTTTCCAAATGGCGATACATGTCGTTATATAACATCAGAAAATCACACTTGTTAGTTTCACTGCCAGATCAAAAGTTTGTTAAATATGAAAAACTGCCCAACACCTACAGGTGGATATAACTTTTCTGAAATTCCATATTTGTCTCAGAAGTTGAAAATTTGTCATTTGTGAAAATAAAAAGTACTTTCATGATTTTCCTTAACTAGGCTCATTTCATTCATTTTTGAGAGAGTCTGCCATAGATCTAAGTGAGTTTATGTGACTGCCAGTCATGTGTTCTTAAGTATTACTATTTACATTCTCTATAACATTTACCTGTTATGTCACTTTTATGTATAATTCGTACCCTGTGATTTGTCACACCGGTGTGGTCTTTTCTGTTAGTAACAGCTCATCATGCAGTGGACACTCAGATGTCCTAGGAACAGTGCTGAGCTCATAGGCAGTCTCTGAGGTTGTCTCCACTTTACACATGAGGAGACAGCATCTGATGGTTAGGTTTTGTGGGAGATTATAAACCTAATGAATTATGGAACTGACTTACAGGCGCCAGGTGTCAGAGCAAGACTTGCTCGTGTTGTTTCAAAGCAGCCTTGGGCAAACTCATGATATAGGGGGTGTGGCCACAGACAACCAGGAGAGGCCACCTCGGAGCTGGGGAGACCACCTTGGTGTAACTGGGTACGTTGACAGTCAGATCACAAGGGCAGAGATCCAGGGTCAGGCAGTAATTAGGTTCTTAAGCTTGTGATGTCAGCAAGTTGAGGGTTCAAAATGAGATTTCACTCTTTGCTAGTTGGGTTCTCCATTTCCTCATTTTCCAGTCATAGAGGGCCAGGTATTAGGGAGCTTATCAAGAGGAAAAATGATTATTTGAAATGAGAAATATAGTGCAGACTGCTTTTGGTAACTTGACAGAAATCCAATTATTGGGACTAAGAGGTCTATGTCTGGATAAAAGGATAATGATAAGAGGACTCAAATGAGTTGCAGAATTATGGTCTAGAGCTCTTTGGATACTGACTCTTTTAATTTAGACTACAAGGTAAATGACACCACCAGAACTATGTATACAATCTATTCAATCTTACGTGGCAGAACTGTGTTTAAAGAAGGATTTGCTTCTTGGGAGGGGTACTCAGCTGTTGGGAAGAGCAAGCATCTGTGCTATGTAAACATTTTGGTTAGCTGAAGTGGAAATAGGGAGAGATAGATATTATTGGAAGCCTTTTACTGCTAATCTCTAGAATTCATTATTTTAAAACGTTACATCTGTTACAATGCTGGGCTCATAGTAGATACTCAATAAAAGCTCTTCGATGATAACAAAACCACTATAACAAAACCACAGACTCGAGCAACTTATTTTGATACTCTTTGTTCCGCTCATCTCAAAACTCCCTCAATGACAGAAATCCTACCTTTTCTTCTGAACCAGTCATCAGAACACACACACACACACACTAGGAAGAATGAAGGTATGAACTTGGCACTTCCCTTTTTTGTTCTACTGAGTTTTGAGTACTCTTTAGTCTCTTAGTGTGTGGGCGGCCAGATAGCAACTCTCTTTTCCCTTCTGGTTCATGAATGTGATGTGGTTTTAAGATGGTTAAGAGTTTTTGATGAAAGTTAAGCACAGGCTTTCCTTAAAAGATAGCTATAGACATACATTTGTAATTGATAGCATACAATTTTTGAGGTTTCCCTGAATTTTTGTTGCTATTGGATCCCATTTCTTAAAACTATCAAAAGAGGCTGTAATTGTGATTTCAATAAAGTAATACTCTTATTTCGTCTCATATAGGATAATTTGTACTATTTTTCTACTTGAATAATATTGTAAAATAACATTTATTAGACATTAAAATGTTTCCTAATATTGGATTAACTACCCAAATTAGCTCATAGAAAAATGCTCTTAAAGGAAATTAGACAATTAAGGAAGGCAAACACGCTTCATTTCTGTTAATTACTAATGTTCTAAGAACTATTTGCTTATTATGTTAGCAAAGATTACATTTAATTCTAACAACAGTGCATGTAAAATATACATATGTAAGAACTATTCTCTGGCCACATGTAACAAGAGCCTTAGCTGAGTATTAGTCTTTAGTAAATTCCCTGGGAGTTGCGGAATCCTAAGTGTGAGAAAAGCTTTATGCACAAAGACGTAGCAGAATTATTTCTACTAGAGAAAATTATATTAGCCAGAAATGATCTTTACATGTTTTAGAGGGTTTTGATTCTTTTGCTTGAGTCTCCAGGTGTTAATCAAGTGAGTCCTAGTTTTCTCTGATCCGCTGACTTCTTGGCTTGAGAGCCAGTTCCGGTTCCTAGAGAAGGGGTGAGAGCTTGTTGGCAAGGTCCCTAGGACATCAGACAAGTCTCTGTGACTTACAGGGTAAGGGCTGGCACAGGTGATGAAAGAGTAGACGAATATTAACACCCAGAAGCTGATTCTTGCATTATTGGGAGATCTCACCATCTATTCACTGAAAATCCTGATCTCCTTTGTGTTGTGGGAGACTCATCTCACCCTCAGCTACCACCCTGTCATCCGTCTCTTCTACCTTCTAACATTTTCCCTGTTTCCTGAAGAAAGAAAATCCCTAAGAAATGCCTTTAAACTAAGGGACAATTTAATTGTCTCCATATAATTCAAATTAAAAAACAGCCCCCATGTGGTATCTTACTTGATTCTGACAGTTTGATCCTTTAGGTAGGAATTACCTAATTATAGTATAAGGAAAGAAAAAAGTCTCAGGGAGAAGACAGTAAACGAATTTACACTGTGACGGGGGATTGCAGGCTTCTCCTGTGTCTGTCATATCATACATGTATCATATAATAAAGGCAGCTACAATAACAGCAACTAACACTGAGAGAGCTCTTTCCATGTAGCAGGCACTGTTCAAACTGCTTTCCCAGACAAGAGCTTTTGAATTTTTAACTTGTAGAACAAGCTAGCCTTGATGCTAGTAAAATACCTTCTGGAAGGCTTTTTTTTTCTTTCTGTGTTTTTCTTAATTTTTAGGATTTATTGTCTTTTTCTTGGGAAACCACCAGGTCAGCAGGTAACTTGACAACGTTAGGGGAGAGAGCTGCACTCACAGCTGTGGTGTGAGAATGGTCACTTTCTAACCTGGCACACCAATGGAGTGTGAAATCATTTTCCTTGCACATGTCTCTTACACACTTCTAACCATACAGGGTTTTTTGGGGGGTGACAGAAAAAGAATAGGCCTTCAAAGTTTAGGATTAAAAAAAAATGGTCATGTTTATCTTGTTATAAAAAGCAAAGAGAAAGAATCATTTTGGGGATCGAGAAAATGAGTATGAGAATTTTGTGGGCAGGTATGATATTGTATATATGTAGATACAGGTCTCTATGTGTGTAGATATATATGCGCAGACACAAACGTATGCTTGTGGTTTTGGGTGTAACTAGTAAGGGAGTGCAGGGGGATTGAGAAGCTAACAAATACAAATTATTGGAGATTGAAGATTCAGTCTTGGTTCCATCTGTATGCAGACCCTAACACCCTGTGTAACAATCTAGGGCTTCAGTAAATATTTGCTGGGTTCACTTGAACTAACGCCCTGTAAAGCTGGAAAGCTCTGAGCAGGCGATGGCGCTGTGTTGAAGATACCGCAATTCCTCTTTTCTTTGCAGAGCTGCTACTGCCCCCTTGTGGTGATAGTAGGTATTTGTGTGTGGTGTGGGGGAGGTTCTTCTAAATGGCTCAGTAGTGTCTATGGTTGTTAAGCTCCAACGGAGAGTCAAGCAGAGGTGGGTAGCTTGTGCTTTGAGAGAAACCCTACCAGGAGGTAATCCATATCTGGGGAGATGTGTAGAGGATTTGGCTTTATGGGACTGGAATTGTAATAGGATTATTCAGTCCATAGTGCTGTAGCAGAAAGATGGAATGGGGGTGAGAAGTGGAATCAAGGCCAAGCATAGATGTGGAATTTGGCTTCCTGGAGGCTAGAGCCGGTCATTGATTATGTTCCTTAGTGGGAGGAAGGCTTCAGCAGTGGGTGGGCCTCCACTCTCCCTTCCTTGTCACCTCTTTTCCCCTGCAGGGCAACCCGAAGCACTTTGACTTGGTTTATTTCTTGATGTCCAATAAAATTTTGGAGGAAAAAAACATCCTCAGAAGTCTGAAAGCCCTTGGACTAGATGATGTCTGAGATGCCTTTCAGCTCTAATGTGATGATTTTATGAACTTCAAATTGAGTCAGAGACTTGAAGGCTGAAACCATAGTGCCAACAGTTTCTCTGTAAGTGCTGTGGTGTTTTGCAGGCGGACAGCCCAGAAGACATGCACAGCTGGATTAAGGAGATCGGGGCAGCTGTCCAGGCCCTCAAGTGCCACCCCAGAGTAAGTCACTTCCTTTCTGTTCCAGTGACTGTCCCTGGATATTAATTCTTTTTGAGTGGGCAGGTTTTATTTGGTAATACAGGCAGTATCCTGGTCCCTGCCTGCAGCTAAATCCTGGGCAGTCTTACTTGTTTTTCTCTTTCTACTGACTTGTCTACAATTTTTTTTGTTTATGGTTGTTGAAGGAAGTAAGATTGGACTGGATAGAAAAAGAGGGTATCTCATGTGTCCTAAGTGTCCCTGTGCCAGGCAGACCTGGATGTGTCTGGGGTGAATTCCATGGGGTGTATTTGATTGCTGTACACAAGTGTGTCTGGACCGATGAGGTGGTGCCTTTCAGTGGGGTGGGGGGTGGGGGGGGATAGGATTCTTCCTGGGGCTCTGGGATTGTTGAGAAAGCTCTTACTATCTTTGTTTTTTTCTTTTTGTAGGAAATACCCTTCTCTAGATCTATTTCTTTGACTCGCTCTGGAAACTCCAATCTCTCTGGGGCCACCCCATCCATCATGTATAGAGGGCGACCACCTGTGGAAGAGAAAAAAGCCCTCTGCAAAGCCCCCTCTATGGCATCCTCTTGGCAACCCTGGACACCTGTCCCGCCGGCTGGGGAAAAGCTGCTTCCAGCTGAAGAGACTCCTGATGACTCTTTGTTCCCACATCGACTTGGAGAGAGCACCACTGCTGGGGTGCTATCTAGTTCCAGGATAAGGCACAGATCAGAGCCTCAGCACCCCAAAGAGAAACCATTTATCTTCAACCTGGATGATGAGAACATTCGGACATCTGATGTGTGAAGGACATAAAATGGGGGAGGGGGGTGGCCAGGACTCGTTCCTCAACCAGCTGGACAATCAAGCCTTTATGGCACTCACTCTGTGGCTGCTCTGTGGAAGGGGCTCATCAAGCTAGCTTTTTATTCTTTAAATATCAACGCGGCGTATTTAATTTGGGGCAATCACGAGGGTAGACCAGTACGCATGCTCAGTGGAAAGCTGGTGGCCTCTTGTCTAACTATTCCGAAGTGCTCCTGGTGAGAGGAGGTTGGGAGTCCAGTTTTATCCCTAACCAACTTTTAATTCCTTGTTCTTGTTTTAGTTTCTTGTTTTCCAGGCCAGTCATAGAATCAGAGGCCAGTCATCTGTTTATTGGCTAGCGTTTGACTGTGCAGGAGGGGTATCCCGCTGAAGGAGGCAGGAGTGGAGTCAGACTCAGGCGCCAGCTTGGTATTTATTCAGAGGGGAGGTGCTAAAATCTGGGGGCTGGGGAGAGGCTCTCAGAAAGTCTACCAGGGCACATTTCCCCAGGGGATCCCATCGGAAAGAAATAGGGACTTCTTGTAAGGTATAGTGATGATTCAACCCTAGTGCCTCAGTCAGTTTTGGGAATCTGTTCCCCTCTAGATGTTTTTGATCCCCCATAATGTCAATGTGAGTGATGGACCAGCCCATCCTCTGTGTCTGGCTCGAAGGATGGGTTTATCAGTGTTTGATGTTGTGACTGTTGAGAACAGAACAGACATTTCCTATTGTATGGTGTTAAGTGGTGTGTGTGGACATGTGTGACAGATCAGATCTCTATTTTTGAGTTTTAGGTGTGCTTGAAAGCAGGTACTGGAGAGAGATGAATTGGAGTTAATTCAGTTAAGCTCTTTTGGTTCATGTTTTCCAGACTCAAGAAAAGGTCTGTTTTAACAGCTTATATTCAATCCTTGCTTCACAGCTCTTTTTAATGGGCTAATATCAGTCTGATTTTAAGTGTTGTATATTGTGTACCCTGTAGACCTTTCTTCCTGTTCTTTGTGTTGCCCTCTGAATGAAGCTCTGTTACTCGCATGATCAAACTGTAATCTGATGAGGTTCCGTGTACTTACCAGTGAAGAGATACAAAGATGATCTTGAGAAATATTTATATTTCTAATAAAGTAGAAAATATGCATCGAAACATTGATTTTGAGACTATACACTGTGCTGGCTCATGATTTCCCAGGTAGAAGTACAGAAGATTGCACTCCCTACACAAATTCTACAGTGTACTTTCCTCCAATTGATAAGAAAATACTGCTTCCAGGGGAAATAGGAATATTTCTGGAAGAATTTGCCTATTCAACTTACGTGGTAAACTCAACAGGAAATTATCATGAATGACTCCCTGAAGGGAGACAGAACTTATTTAGCTCATTTTTTAAAATTAAAAATTAATGACTAGAGGAAGACACTAAGAAGCAATTTTTCCTTAGTTCCTTCCCTTATTGCTAAATCTAATGCAGAGGCAAAAGAATTTATAGCCAGGAAATCCTTAATAGCTTGAGAGAAATCTTAGATTTCTTTGAAACAGTGGTTTTCTTGAAGTCTGAATCTCATTCTGAACTTTTTGACTACACTGCCTTGGACCAACCCTTCACTTAAAGTTTGGCCTAGGGCCTCCCTGGTGGCTTGGGGTTAAGTCTCAGCCTGAATTCAATCCCCCCACTAAGGAACCTGACCCACCTGGCACAGCAGACCTCTCCTGTCTCACTCACTGCTCCCCTCAGCAGTGGATTTCAGTAAATACACCTGTTCTGCTCCTCAATCTAGTGAATCTTCTCACTCCCTGCACCTCTGACCTACATCCTAGTTCTTCTATGCAGAAATAATAAAAGTTTGGCTTAGTATAAAAGTTTGTTGTGGCATAAAGGAGGACCCCTGCTCCTGGGTTTTTCTCTGTTTTTCTGCTTTGTCCTCAGAAATCTTTGTTTTGGGAATTATTTATTTAGGAATCTGAAATTACAACATATTTCACATAGCTCCATTTCAAGAAGCCATTCCAGACTCTTCAAGCTTCTTGTACCTGGCTTCATCTTCAAGTTTTCCTCAGGAAAAGTTGATAGCTCCACACAAGCACACAAGTGATGCTGGATGAATGAGAAGTGAGGAATTTTGGAGATCTTAAAAGATTCCCTAACTCATGTAAAGATGTTGTCTTTGATTACTTAAAATGTGAAAATATATCCATTTCTCTTTCTAATAAAATCTGTGACTATGGCTAAATCATATAATTGGGCATTATAGTAAGCTGATGTTTCTTAGTAAGTCTATTTTGAAAATGTCTTAAACCGACTTACAAATCCAAATTGTATTATGACAGAGGGAAAATGAAGACTCTCACTTTGGAGGTGCTAGGCAGTTCTGAGTTAGAACCTGGTTAAAATAATGTAATTATCTTCAAAGGAACTTAAAAGGGTGCCCACTCCCAAGGCTAGTCTCAGAATTCCTTTTCTGCTTGTATTTCTTACCTTCTGACCAATTTCATATCAAAGCCTTCTAATACCATTACTGTGTGAGCCAAGATGGTGCATAGGTAGACAAAGCATTTGGCTTTATAGAAGCAAACTGGAACCAAATGGAAAGCAATAGGGTGAGGACAGTATAGTTTAGTAGTGCATAGGTAAGGGACTAAATCTGCATTAATAAAGAAAAGGAACCACATTCCTTTGTGAAATAAAACTTGTCGAGTTGTATTTTCTTTACTAAGACTTGAAGTGGTCTTGACCCACTGTATTTCAGGTCGTCGTCTTTAGAGCTGATTTATTTACTACCCACAATTCTTGAAAGTTTTGAAGGATTTGCTTACTCAAGGTGAGTAGATTGTAGGTAAACATACCTTTTGCTTTCTGTGAGACAACCTAAGTGTACTAAGACTAAGGCGTACGTGGAGGAGGGTGACCGCAGTCAAAATATTGGAGTTCATTACTCATGTATTTTTGAGTAGAAAGTGGGGATCACAGGAGAAAGAGTAAATTTAAACTTCAGCTCTTAGTTTCCTTAAAGCTAAGTATATTTTTTCTTTCTGAGTTTAAATTGGCTTTAAATATGGGCTAAAAGGAGTCAATAAACAAAAAGCAGGTTCAGGAGTTGAATCGTGGGATTTATAATGCTTGTTTTCATTGTTAACCAGATGAACAGACATGTAGAGGTAACAGCATTTAAATAACTGTTTCCTAAATCAGTTTTGTTTATAAACTCTGAACATGTCAGAAATGAACAGGTTTATTAGATCATTTCTACAGATGCCACTTTTTACCCCTTTGTTTCCTTTTTTCTCTTTGTTAATGCCTGCAGCAGTCAATTACAGTCACTCACGCTAGGTAGAGTTTAAATAAAGTTAATATTTGGCAAAAACATACTGTTTTACCCTTTCCCCGTCTGCTTATAAAGGTGTGGCATGAGTTTGTGTTTTGAACCAGTATGTTTCAGCTGTGAAATGCACTCTGTAAGCACTGAGCTGAGTGCATGGAAACTGTTACGCTTCTCGTTTTATGTGATCTAATTGGTATGTAGCAAAAAATAATTTTCTAAAACTGTTGTTGCTTGTTTTGTAATAAAACTGTGGAATACCGTAATATGGTGTATTTCCAATTGCTGACCTTTTGCCTTGGGTGGGTGATCTATTTTGTCCGTCTGTGCCCATTATTGGTTTTATGGGTTTCACGAGACAGGTTCCTGCTCAGTGTGGGGCTGGGGACTTCTCGTCACTGCCTGGGAGGGACCTAACCCGGGGTGGGGACAGATGGTGCTGGGTGTGTGTGTGAGTGTATGTATGTAGCGGTCTGCCAGGTTCTGCCCCTTAAAGCCGGGGCTGGTGGAGGCGGCATCCCAGCTGGGAGAGCGTGTAGCTCCTTTCAAAACTGGCGAGTCCAGGATACAAGAGCTGGAAAAGTAGGCGCCAAGTAGGAAGGATGATCAGACCACAGCTGCGGCCAGCTGGGCTCGGACAACTTCTCCTGCTCTGGCTGCTGCTGCCTCCAGCGCCCTGGCCTGCAGTGGACGCTAGGCGGTCCCGGTCCTCGCTGTCCTGCCCGGCGGTCTGCGACCCCACGCGCTGCCCGCCGCTACCCACCTGTTCGGCCGGGGCCGCGCCAGTGCTGGACCGCTGCCGCTGCTGCCGTGTCTGCGCCGCGGCGGAGGGCGAGGCCTGCGGCGGAGCGCTCAGCCGGCCGTGCGCTCCTGGGCTGCAGTGCCGCGCGCCACCCGGCTCCCGGCGCCTGGGGGACTCGGGGGTCGGCACCTGCGGCTGCCCGGCGGAGGGGGAGGCCGTGTGTGGCAGCGACGGGCGCACCTATCCCAGCCTGTGCGCGCTCCGCGCGGAGAACCGCGCCGCCCGCCTGCGGGGCGAGCTCGCGGCCGTGCCGGTGCAGAAGGGCGACTGTGCAGACCCAGGTGAGACCCGGCGCCGCGCGCGCTCATGCAACACGCCGAACTTTCTTAAAGAGCTTCGCTCACACACCTGGTGCGGGCTCTCCCCCGCTGCCTTTCATTTCAGGAATTCAACTCCAACTTCTCGACTTTCTCACTTCCTTAAGGTGCCTCTTTACCCGTCCCATGGGTTTCGTCCCAGTTCCCTCCCCGTCCCGGTTGCATTCCGTTTTCCCCTAAATAAGTTTTTATTTTTCCTACGGGGAGGCGGCCGGCTTCCTTCTAGGCACATCCTCAACGGAGCTGCAGTGACTAAGGAGGGGGAGGCCGGCGAGTGGAAAGAAAAGCGAGGGGAGAAGAGGGACTGAGAAACTGGAGCTAGAACGCAGGAGACTGTGTAGGAGTGAAAATCCCGCTGCGCTCCAAAACCGAGCCTCTCTTTCAGGGACGCGAGGAGCAGGCCAGCCCAGGAACAAGTTCAACTTCATCGCCTCGGTGGTGGAGAAGGTGGCGCCGTCTGTGGTTCACTTGCAGTTGTACCGCAGGTAAAGGTGATAGGATGAGGTCATCATCCACCTGGGTTGACTGTTTCTGAGCAGATGCTCTCATATAGGAAGCATTATTTAGCCCTAACAAGAAACAAAACAAACAAAAAAATCGGGAGGAAACGAACGTGTTCCAACCTGCTCAGGGTCCTTGAGCTAAAAAACAGAGGCAAAGGGCGCCCGAATTCCAAGCCTGGGCTCCTTACTGTCTTGCATGTAGATGGCTGGGTTTCTCTCTCCCCTACCTTCCCGCAGACAAAATTTAAGGCCAGAAGAAAGAGCTCGAAAGGCCAGAAGAAAGAGCTAGAAGGCATATTGCTTTATTTAAAAAAAAATTGTATTAATGGAGATTTTAAAAAATTGAAGTAACCTTGCACTATCTTAAATTCTGGTGTGCATCATTATACATCCATGTATATATATAAAATTCAATTTAGCAATAAAAGTCCAATTTTATCTCTCACCGTAGAAAGCATCTTGATGGTGATCTTGCCCAGCCTCTTCATTGCTTAGAGGAGTATTTTGTGCTATGTCACAAAGCCCGTGAATAGTGGAACCAAAGTAGTAACCAGACTTCTTTGATACCGTCTCCACCTTGATAATGTGGCGCTGGGTCCACATTTTTTTTATACAGAGTGGGGAACAGAAAAGGCAGATTTATTGAGATATAATGCTAGGAGAAGCAGCAGTGAGACAGGAGAGGTCTGCTGTGTTACTAAGTCCACTTTTGCATAATGTTATGATATTATGATTAACTTAGGCCACTTTGAAGTTGAGGATTGCTGCAATGAACAACTCTAAAGAAGGAGCCTCAGTGGAAAAGAAGCGCTGGAATCAATTTTAGTTTTGCTCAGATATGGTTCAAAGATGCTCAGGGCACTGTTTCTGAAGAATCTGGTTACACACAGAGAAAACACAGGCAGGGAAAAGTAAGAGAGAAAACTGGTGAAAGGATATGATACATATGAGGTTCTGTGTTTCTAGATTGTGGCAAAGCCCTGATTTTCCTGCCGCTGCTGATGCTGTTGTTTTCCTGAGACAGGTCACTTTTCAGTGGGGAGGAGATTCCTGCATCCAGTGGCTCTGGTTTCATAGTGTCTGAGGATGGACTTATTATTACCAATGCCCATGTCATCACCAACCGGCGGCGGATCCAGGTGGAGCTCCAAAATGGTGTCCAGTATGAAGCCACTGTTAAGGACATTGACCATAAATTGGATCTTGCACTGATAAAGATTGAGCCTAAAGTGAGTGTTCCAGAAACAAATCAGAGTCTGCATATATGGGGATTTTCATCAATTTTCTGTGTTCTTTCCCAACCACTCCCACCCCACCTATTTTCTACCTACTATATGTTCTTTTCTACTTTTTGTCCTTCATGTCCTCTCTCATTTATTTTCACACGGTATGCCTGTACACCCCTGTTAACTATCCAACAGTCTTTATTTCTCCTTCATTTCCTTCTTCTTCAGATGCTACCTCTGGAAAACTTATTTCTCTTCTGATCTTAGAAGGCTAGGAAAGATCAATGGATTTAAAGTCCTTGCTGCACAAAGTGTGCTTTATACACTAGCAATGTTGCCATCATCTGAGAATTTTTTAGAAGTACAGGCTCTCAGGTTCACCCAGGGCTACTGAATCTGAATGAATTTTCATCGCCCCCAGGGGATGTATATGCACATTGAGGTTTGAGAAACACTTCTCTGAGGGATATCCTCATCGGTTATTGCTTATTAACTTTGACTAAACTTTTTTTTTAAAGATTTATTTATTTATTCATACAGAACTGGGGTACAAGCCAGAGGTGCAGGGGCAGTGAGAGGATTCACCAGAGACAGAGTGGGGGACAGAACAGGCCCATCTACAAGTACACTGCTGAGGGTAGCAGTGGGCGGGTCAGGAAAGGTCTGCTCCCTTGTGGGTCAGCTCCAGGGCTGGGGATGGAACTTGCTCTGAAGTGGTTGCGTCTTGCTTGCAGTGCTGAGTTCTAACCTGTTGCACCACGAGGCAGGGCCATGACTAAACTTTTTGACCTGAAACATTGTTAAGTAAATTGCCAATGTTTGTGTTTATCAGCTACTTTAATCATGGCTTAAAGTAATTTGTAGAAGCAATTTTTTTATTTTAGAGGTGATCCTGATTACCTTTAACCAAGAGAATTTTGGGAGTTAGAGTTTGAGGAAGAAGCATGATAGTCATAGACCCTTGGATTTTACGTGGCAAAATAAAAGCTGTTATATATGTGTTATACATGAATTATATTCTTGATTTGTTTTTCACCTCTCTGTCCTTCCCATCTTTTCTTGTCCATGTGCAGACTGACCTTCCTGTATTGTTGCTGGGGAGGTCATCTGACCTGCGGGCTGGAGAGTTCGTAGTAGCCTTGGGCAGCCCATTTTCTCTGCAGAACACAGTAACTGCAGGGATTGTTAGCACTACTCAGCGAGGGGGCAAAGAGCTGGGGCTGAAGAATTCCGACATTGATTATATCCAGACCGACGCCATCATTAATGTAAGTCACTTGCAGGAGGAAGGGGGCCACCTCAAACCATAGCTATTGGCAGGATAGTGAGAAGAAGAACACTTCACGGTGCCTTGCATTCCTTTTGGCTTTTGGAGGATGTCCAAAGTTCTGTCAGAAACTTAAGAGAGGGATGGAATGCCACATTGTTAGATTTGAGGCTGTTGGCTGTGATTAACTGGCATTTGTGTTATTGGCTGGTCTCAGGGAACGCCATGGAGTTCACCACTGCAATAGAAGGTGGTGGTCCTCTTGCTGTTTTTCTTTAACGACACTGACTTCAGTGTTGGTGGCAGTAGGGGTACAGGAACAGGGGCTCGCTAGTTGGCAAACCTCTTTAGGAACTATGGGTAAATGACAGGGATTAAACTACTGATGACTTTTTCAAATCTTGTCTTCAGCACGGGAATTCTGGGGGACCTCTGGTGAATTTGGTAAGTTGCCATATTATTTTTTTTGCCACCTCATGTCTTCACCTAACTTACAAAGAGTTCACAAATCCCCCTATATACTCTTGTGTAGAAATTTGTAGTGTGATGCTTTTCTGTTGTTGCCTCTTAAGTAGATGGCTAAGAATTATTTAAGATCTATGATGAGTTTGTAATTCTGGCGTTATCTTGTGCAATGGGAAGTCTCAGGGTTTACCTATGCTTGCTTGTATCTTTCAACATAATTTTTGTTTCCATTGGATAGTTAAACAAAAGTCTTGGCTACTAAACCCAAATTTATATCAAGTGACCAACTACATCATGTAAGGGATATGCAGCATATGAACTGTCCTAATACAAAAGTACTTATACTCATTACTTCTCCAGAGTTTTAGTTAGGACCTGCTCATAGGTGACAGAAAAACCACAAAAAGAATCCATTGCTCTGTCATGGCTTTAATTCTCATATTTTATTCAGTATCTCTAGTGGAAACCCAGGGACTGTAGTTGTGAAAACATGAGTATGCAAGGCTGTTTGGTACAGTTTGCGATCATGTTTTGTCTCTTTGAGTTGATTATTTTTGGTTCCTCTTTACACTTTACCCATGTTTTTAGGAGGATGAATTGCATGTACAATTACTGAGCAGTTTTCACTCATAACCTTTCATGTAATTTTTGTACCTGCTTTCTCCATTAGACAATGGGCTTAACAGAGCAGGGATAAAATTATGGGCTTCACTCCAAACCTACTGAATTAGAATTTGTATCTTAATATGACCAGAAGTCTCTCTTTTCATTATCTAACAAAGGATAAACAATGATGAAGTGCATGAAGAGGAAAGTATTTCCCATTTTTATCATTAGCTTAGTAAAATTGACCAAAGGTCAAGCTGCTTATTCTTCTGAATAGTTTCATTGAAGTGTTGCTGAAAATCCAGCAGCCTTTTGCCTTTCCCATGTTTATTTTTGGTTTCATGTATAGAATAAGAAAGCAAATACTTTTTGTCCTCTGTAAAAATATAAACTCACCCCTTTAAAAATCAGTGTAATTCAGCAAAGTTAAAAATTAGCTCAAGATTAGAACAAATTCTTTAGCAGAAATTTGCATGTATGTTGGTCCCCTCTGCTAGCCAACGATCCTATTCCCTCTTTAATGTGACATTCATTGTCTGTTGAAGAAGCCCACATTTCCTCTCACCTCTATTCTGACCCTACCTGATGAGCTTTACTCCTTTCTTCACTTGTCTGGTTTGTGCAACTTAGCTGTGATAACCTCCTTGCTTACCAGGATGGTGATGTGATTGGCATAAATACACTGAAGGTGACCGCAGGTATCTCGTTTGCAATTCCTTCTGATAAAATCCGACAGTTCTTGGCAGAATACCATGAGCGCCAGTTGAAAGGTAAGGAGTGTTAGGGTTTTTTATCCCCTTCTTGTGCTTTTCAAGGGCACTGAGTCTTTTGTGGAGATAGCCATTTGCATTCTGTGGAACACAGAGTCACTGGTACCACTGAAACTACTCTTATCATAATGGTTTGGACTGCAATATTGGGGGACAAGGCACAAAATCAGGCATGAGTTATACCCTGAAATATTTTGATTGAACTGTTTTGGAAAGGGAACCTTGGGCTGGAGGTTATTGGAATTGCCTGTGCTACTGACAATCGTTATCTGAAGAACCTTTTGAAAAGGCAGCAATAATAGGATATTCTGTAACTTTTGTGTCTTATAAGCTTTCAAAAGGAAAGATGTCTGTTGTAAATATCATAATATAATTTTCCTTTCCAGGAAAAGCTCTTACACAAAAGAAATACCTGGGTCTGCGAATGCTGCCCCTTACTATGAAGTAAGCATGTGGTTGAATATATCTGGGTTGGGTTGTCCTCTTTTTTAAAAAAAAATTTATTTGTTTAGGCATACAAAAGCTGGGGTGTAGAACAAACATGAGGGGTCAGGGGTGTGTGAGAGGATTCATCAGAGACAGTGCAGCAGAACAGGAGATCTACTGAAATACACTGCTGAGGGGTGCAGCGGGTAAGACAGGAGAGGTCTGCTAGACTATGTGGGCTAACTCCTTGGCCAGAGATTGCACTTGTGCTGCAGTGGCTTTGGATAGCTTCATAGTGCTGAGATTGAACCCCTTGTGACACCAGGAAGCCCTGGGTAGGGTTGTTCTTATGAAAAAAAGCCATAGCTGGACAGTCTTAACTGGGAAGCTTAAAATCTGTAACAGTGGGTGCTTTTGTGACTGTAGAACCTGTTTAACACAGCGTGGATATCTGTCCTTGCCTGTGCTAACTTTGGCTGTATTTCTCAGTATAGTTGGCCCTTGAACTTTGAGGACCCACTTATAGTGGCTTTTCTTGTATACATATAACATAAAAACGTTTGCTTTGATAAATATGGAATAGTATTATAAATATATTTTCTCTTAAGATTTTAATAATATTTTTTCTAGCTTACTGTACTTGATAGTATATACTACATCTAACATAAAATATGTGTTATGTGAGTGTTAATATTATCTATCAGTAAGGCTATTAGTAGTTAAATTTTGGGAGAGTCAGAAGTTATATGTGCACTTTTGACTGTATTAGGGGAGGGGGTAGTGCCCCTATCCCCTATAGTTCAGGGGTTGGCTATAATTTATTTCACTGTGACTGTATATCCAGTGGGTCTAAGCACAGAGCCAGACTGGTCCCAGGAAGGAACAGGGATTGTCATTGACCATTATGAGCCCTGCGCAGAACAGAATGGTACCTACTGAGAGTTGGATGCTTTCACCAGAGCTCATGAGATTAATTAATTCAATATGCTTCTTAATAATGTTAAATAACAAAGAAACAGCCAAAAAATGAGAGTTCTAATGGGCTTTTAAAAATGAGTCATGAATGGGCAGCATCCCATCTCACTAGTAGAAAGGAACTCTAAAGAGCTATAGAATAGGAAATGTTTTTAAAAGCAGGACAAAAAATCATAATTAAAAAAAAAAAGGGATTATTTCAGGCTTAGGTCACCTACCTAGAGGGAATAAAAAAGGGTTATGTGGGATTAATTACCTCATTGGGACTAACCAGAGGCTTCCAAATCGAACAGGTAAGACTACATTCTTGAGGCAGGTTGCTTAGCACAAGTGACTCCATTATGGTTCTGTTGTTCCTTTTTTTTTTTCTTTTAAACAACCATCTGAGTAAACTCTTCTTATTTTTCTTAGCCTTCTTCAAGAAATGAAAAGGCAAGATCCAGATTTCCCTAATGCACATTCTGGGGTTTTTATATATGAAGTGATTCAAGGATCAGCTGCTGAAAGGTAAGAGAAACTCAAGCCTTTGCTTTTGTTCTTATTAGAAGTCTCCAGGTATATGTGTATGGGATCTAGACTAATATGTGGCTCCTACCTACATTTAATTTCCTTACCAGTGGAAATTAAACACTGAAGATGTTGCTGGTACGAGGCAGGGCCTGAATTTGAAATTTCACTTAACTTATTTAAATTAATAACCCAGAAGCAATATAAAATACTTGTCCACTATATATACTTTTTTTTTTTTCATTTTGGAAGAACTCCCTTCCACTTTAATCATTGGGTTGTATAAGATTGTTGTTTATAAGCATATTGGGTATATACTGTTTCTAATTTTCAAAGACTTATGAGCAAATAAAATCCTAAATTTATAATTTAGAAGCTATGTTAAAGTGATACTATTTTAGATATATTGAGTTAAGATCTATTATTAAAATTAATTTGTAAAAAATATTTAATGTAGCTACCAGGAACTTTGTTGTTTTGTATTTCTACGCACAGTGCTGATTTAGATTTGTGTACTTATAAAGGTTTTTTGTTTTTGGTCCATATAGCTTAAGAATTGATGATATGAGTTAATGGTATAAGTTTAATTTGCTAGGATTTCCCAAATCTACCTTTTTAGTATCTTAGTTATTAAGAATGCGAAGATTCCAGAGGATTAAAACTTTAGGTACAGGCCCTCCCTGGTGGCGCAGCGGGTTAAAGCGCAGCACTAAGAAGCTAAAGCCACTTCCGCATGAGTTCTATCCCCGCCTGCCCCGGAGGAGACCACATGGCGTGGCAGACCTCTCCTGACCCGCCCACTGCACCCTCAGCAGTGTACTTCGTCCATCTGCCTGTTCTGCTCCCGGCTCTGTTTCTGGTGAATCCTCTCACCCTCCGCATCTCTGGCCTGTACCCCAGTTCTGTATGAATAAATAAATAAATCTTTAAAAAAAAAAAAACACTTTAGGTACTTTAAAACATTTTTCTTTTAATTTTAGATGACAGTATCAAGGCCATTGCTAAGATCTGTGTAAAAAAAGCAGATTGGAGTAGCTCTCAAAGAAGTTGATTTACTATTGTTTTTAAATATTTACACTCCTGAGGGAAAAGGTGGCTTGTCCTACAATTATTCCCCAGGATCTTACTTTTCTAATATCCCTTTCACACTACTTATGTTTGTTCTTAAAGAGTTGTGTAGTCTGTTTAGATTATGATAACTCTCTTAATCGGGATAAGAATCTGTAAGCTTCAAAAATAGCTAAATATTAGGTCTCAAGTTACTAAGTTTGGCTTGTCATAGGCTTTTCTAGATTTTCTTAGTAACTGTCCAACTCCTCCACCCCCACCCCAAAGTTTATTTTTAACTTCTGGTTCAAGGCCAAAGCTTTCTTTCAGCTCTCCAAACCCTTGCTATGCAAAATATATGGGCTGTAGATCAGCAGCATTTATTATCAGCTGTAATTTTTTAGAAATGCCACTGACAGACCCTGCCAATGAATCAGAATATACATTTTAAACAAGAAAGATTTCCAGTGAAAAATCCCACAGTGAAATGTGGGATTTACTACGTGATGACATCATGGATAAACTGGAAATTTATTCTTTCTGGCTTCTAATTAGAATGACATCTAATTATGATGTTAATTACTATACTAAGAATTAAAATTTATTAAGCACTTACTGTATATTGGGCACAAGTGAACATGTTCTGCATGGTTGTTTGACCCCTAGTTGTCTTATATAGTTATTACAATAGAAACAGCTGTGTGGTAGTTGAACTTGAGTGATACTGTAAGTCAACAGAGATGTGGAATCCTAGCTTACCCCCAGCATCAGCCTGCTTTTTGGGCTGTTTTTCTTCTTTCTAAAAGGCAGAGGAATGGAGTGAATGGAAGATTAGGTTTTCAAGACTTAGAGGATCAAGTCCTGTTTACCCTTACAAGCAGTGCGATATGAGGAAGGTCATTTATCCTGGAACTCATTTCCTAGTATCTGGTTGCAGTTTGTATTCAGCAATAATTTGCATGCTTCTTCCTTTCTATTCACAGAACTACTAAATTCTCTCCTTGTGCACTGTTATCCTCCTGAGGTGTTCTTCTTCTAAAGGTTTTCCTTGTGTTTACTTGATCCTCAAACATCTGTTCATATCCTTTGGCTTGAAATTCTTGGCTCCTTCCCTCTACTTTTTTTTTTTTTTTTAATAAACTCACATATCATTCTTTTATTGGGCTTCCCATTTCTCTTAAAAGGTATCTCCTGGAGTCGTTTGTTGTTCTTCTACCAGATTAGGTTTTGACTTACTGAAAACAGTTTCAATCATACTGCTCAATTTGCTCTCTAGTTCTTTAAGATGAGACAAGTAAGTGGGCTTTCAAAAATCAAATTGACCTGAATGTAGCTGTCTGGGGAAAATTTATTGATTGAGCTTTTTATGTTTGCTGGTAAGGTTGAGGGAGTGTATTTGAGTTTAACAGAGACCAGAGTTTACTAGAAATTAAAAGCTAAATTCCCCATTCTAAACCAAATCCAGGATGGGAGATGTGAACCTCTTATATATTAGCTTTATTAAGGTAAACAGGATTGCTGTTCTCCAGGTGATTTTGCAGTATGTGTAGAATAGCATTTTATTTGGAAGGACTAAGCCTATTTCTGGTTGAAAAGAGATCAAAACAGGGTTCGCAAAAGCACAAGGGACCATGGTGATAGTTCACAGGTGATGTGGTCATGGGATATTTTTTTTTTTTTAAAAGATTTATTTATTTATACATACAGAAGTGGGGTATAGGTCAGAGGTGCAGGGGTGGTGAGAGGCTTCACCAGAGACAGAGTGGGGAGCAGAACAGGCAGATCGACGAAGTACACTGCTGAGGGAAGCAGCGGGCGGGTCAGGAGAGGTCTGCCGCACCATGTGGTCACCTCCCGGGCAGGCGGAAATCAAAAACAAGAGAAAGAGGCTTTAGTTTCTTAGTGCTGTGCTTTAACCCGCTACGCCACCAGGGAGGGCCCGGTCATGGGATATTTATGGGGACTACACCTGAAGGAAGAAATCAAATGCTATAAAAATATGAACAATGTAAAAAAGTCAAAAAATTAATAAAAAGAGACTGGATACCAGGAAGGAAAACAAAATGAAACAAAAACAAAATGAAAATACATCCTGGATGGGGGCTCAATTAACTTAGTCTTATGGTCTTTTTTTCCCTCCCTCCCAGCTCTGGGTTGAGAGACCATGATGTAATTGTCAGCATAAACGGACAACCTGTTACCACCACCACTGACGTTATTGAAGCTGTTAAGGACAATGATTTCCTTTCCATCATGGTTCGCAGAGGAAGTCAAACTTTGGTCATGACAGTCACACCCGAAATAATCTACTAAGTATCTTGTTTTAAAGAGAAACTGCATAACAAAACCAAAGCTGTATTACTTGATTTGTGTTGAAGATGTGCCAAAGATAGCAAGGGTAGTTTGAGAATCTCTTATAAAGAAAAATGAATGCTTTAAAGCACACACACACACACACACACACACACACATTTCAGGGAACATTAAATTGGGGGTTCTATACAGCTGCTAAGAAGCAAGTAGGAGGACATGGTGCCAGGAATCTGGGGAGCTGACAAAACTTTATTTAAAGATCAGAAACAATGGGAAAGCAGGCACAGTTACTAATTTAACCCTGACAAGAGCAAACGTTAGTAATTTCTCTGTAGTCACAAACTAGATATAACACCAACATACAGATAGAATAGATCTATCCACCAAATAACAAGAAACTACCTGAGTCCCAACTGCAAAGGAAATCAAATCTTTAATAATACTCCTTTACTTAATCAGCTTTTTAGGTTGTACCACATTTGCCTGGCTTGTGGATATAGAGGGATGGGCATTATTTAGATTTCAAACTGAAACTGACAACAGCAGATTATCAGAGGGGGTACTAAAGATCCTCCGGTTACCACTTTGAGTTAAATTGTTATGTAACTTTGGTCTCTAATAGCTGTTCTGTGAGAAGGGCTTCCACTATAACCATACAACAAATACTTTAATAACTTAGATGTTTACCTTTCTACCCAAGCTCCAACTTTTTGGCATTAGTGAGTTAAAGTCTGAAAGCTGTCAAAAGTTTTTTTTTTTTTTTTTTAAGAAAATAACTTTTGATGGGGTTTGTGCCTACCCTTAAGGGCATTTGAAACAAATCAAAACAGTGTGAAATGAGGCAGGATTTGTGGCTTAGAATAGTATTTTTTTGGGTGAGGTTTTAATATTTGTTTCTGTTTTCCACATTTGTCTTAGAGTGAGTTTTGAAAATAATATAGCATCTTTGAACCTCTAATTCTACGTAAACTTTTATGAATGTGTATTTTTCTGGGGAGGGAGTACAGTTTCTTTAAGATCCACAACAAAGAAGAACCTTTCACCTAGTACTGTTACAAACAAGGTTAAGGTCAGTGTGGTACAGAATATTCAAGAGAACAGAATGTTTTAATTTTTATACAGTTGCCACCATTTTTATAATAAGAACAGTAATCACGGACAATAAAGCCTAAAACCCTTAAGAAAGTTGCTTCAAAATGGTGAAGCATATCCAGAGGTTTTTAATTGTGATTCTTGATCTTTAAGTTGGTTATGAAACTGAGCAGTTGTATCTTGATGCTTTCTAAGATTTATGTCACCCTGAGTATTAGGCTTTTAGACTTGTCTGTAAAAGTCCCCTTTTACATTTGCCAGTTCTTTTCAAGCAAGATTACAAATGATGGGAACTAAGTTTTGAAAATCACTTATAATTTGGAATGTTTCCTTTTATTGCCAGTGATTTGGAATGCAAAAGCTTGGCTGTACCTCTTTCACTATGATTAAGCGATACTGGCTACAGTGAGAATTTTTGGCACCCTGCTTATTTTGACAGGATGTGTTCAATTTCTATTTGACCCTTTAAATCACATCCTAACTTTACCCAGTGGTCAGTAATAGTATCCTTTAGTAAGAGTCTGTTTTTCTTTCCAAGGGCATGAGACTTTTCATATTACCTAAATGTGAAGTTTTACAGTTACATGTATGAAATTTTTTTTTTTAATCACCTACAACTTGGACTCTCCAAATTGGTAAATACTAATTTTTAGGTAAGAAAATTCTTCCAGGAAGAAGTTAATTGCAATAAAGAAATTGTTTTACTAGCTCTAGAGCATTATGAGGGAGAAACAATAGGGTTTATCAGTGGGGTGGTTTGCTTTGAATATCTAGCTTTTTGCAAAACAATTATAACTTGGAGTTCCACTCTACCCACTGAAAAATCCAAACAGGATTCCAGGTTGGCAAAATGCATTCTGCAATTTAAATGAAAAAAGTTAGAATTTCAGTATATATTAAAATCCATGGTCATCTCCATTTCTGTTGAAGATTTTCACTGGTTCCGTTTCAGATCTCCTCTGCATGAAGACTCAGGGCCATGAGTAAGGTTAAAAATACTCACTTTGAAAGAAAAATTCACTTTGCTCATTCTGTTTCATCCACTTGTTCCAAAGGATTGAGGATAGTGCAACCTACTAATTAAGGAATATGGAAGTCCTCTTCAGCTGTTAAGTTAGTGACTGTATTCTGTATACAAGGAAAGGTGCCATTTGATTTCCACACTGTTTCCTTGTCATTTCTAGTCTGCAAGGTAAAATCTGGGCTGAAAATACAAAGTCACAAGAAATTTTCCCAATCAAACCCATTCTCTTCCTGATGTTTAGATCTGATATCAAGGAAGAGTTCTGAGCATGTAGAGATGAATTCAGAAGACTTGTCTCTCTGGGTTGTAAATAGCAACTCTTTTTAGTAAACAGTGCACCAATTGCTGCCATCACTTGGCATTAGCCCTCCAGTAATAAGCAAAATAAGGTCAACAAACCACCAAATCCCAAGTCCTCCAAGTGTCAACAGTTTCCCTACTGCTGTGCCAGTGTGTCCCAGACAGAAACGATCCACTCCAAAACATCCCAGGAAGAAAGAGTAGAGTAAAGTGGTTATGAAGTAATGTCCGGTATACCTAGACAAAAGAAATTAAAAGGAAGATGCTTACTACATGAAAAGGAAACACTTCATGCTGAATGAATTTAACCTAAGTAAAAGATGGTAGTAGCCCCACTATGGCCTCCTGTTCCCTTATCTCTCCAAATAACTTTAGTTGTCTGAGGGTCTCAAAGAGCGCCTGATGAAATACAGAGGGCTTATAAGAATATTCCTTTTATGCACAGTGTCTTGCTAATCTGAAAGTTTCCCAGACAAATGTTGAGTGTTTTAACAAACACTTTTGCATAACAGGCCTCTTGGTGGGAATAGAGTTGACCTTCCCATTCCCCCACTCCAGGCTCCTTTCCTGAGAATGTAGTTCTTATATAGTTCTTTAACTAAGTGTTGTCTTTCCTTAAATGAACACTGATCTCTGTGGCAACTGAAAATGGGAACTTCTCTGGCAACTGTGAGGACAGTTGCAGTTGCTCTAATTTCACCACTGAAGAGAGCCTCCATTAGTAAGTGGTTTATGAGTAAATTCTGTGCCACCAGGCAGAATTTATAGAAATGGCTCTAATTCTAACTTTAAGCTGATTTTCAAGGAAAGACATCATACTTTTCTTTATTACAGAATACTAAGACTGTTTTCATAGCAATGTTAGAGCTAGATCATCTGGTCTAAGTCCTTCAGTTTACAGACAATTACAGACGAGGACATGGAGACTCTGCATACCCAAAGGCACCTAGTTTACTGGTGAAAGAGACATTTAGAATTTATGGCCTCTAGCCTCAAGTCCATTGTCCTCTTCACTGAAACTATTATGCCCCTGTACATGGATCAGACAGAGTAGTAATACTGCCCCTTTCACATTAAGGTAAAAGAGGTCCTATCAAGATATGACTAAGACGGTAGGTCAACCTCCCTCCAAGGTCCAATTTTCTATTCAGAGTGACACTTACTTTATACAAGGTTTATTCTCACGTAAAAAGGTCCTAGGGCTGGCACACTCAATTCCATCTAGGGCCCGGCACTGAACTGAAGTGTGTTCCACATCACTGTAGGCCTGACCACCGAACTGTGGAACAACAACCAAAATGGAATAAACAAAAAACCCACTGAAGCAAATAACACAAAATCTGCCTTTATATTAACTAATTCATAAAAGTCAATTCAGGATAATACTTACTCCAACAAGTTGGAATTGAGTTAGGTAAAGTAGTGCTCAAGGGTAAGAAATATTTCCAGTGTTTTTACTCAGTCTATCCTAAATGTACACTGTATTAAATAAACTCTTTTATTCTCTTTATGAATGTTTTGTTTATGAATGTAGTAAAATTAAAAATTATAGTTTCTTTCACTAAATGTTATTTAGAATGATGGATACAAAGCTTTCATTGCCCTACATTTAGAGGTAAAAGAACACATTACCGAGCATTTGGGAATGGGTATTTAAAAAGTCAGTGTATGGTAGCTATGGTGCACGGCAAGGGTGAATGGTGGTGGGAATTCTATGGGGACTGCAACTGAGGGCATAACGCCAGCACTGCACAGGAATGAACAATGATGTCAAATATACACAGCTAAATAAATAATGTCGTCAGGAAAAGAAAAAAAAAGTGTTTCTTAGAGGTCTGTTTTATATGTATTATAAATGGACATAATTAGACAAGCATTCAGAGGATCATTTGATTCAGTTCTTTATGCAGATTATAAATGTTCCATTTCCAGCTAGCTGTAGTATAGGAGCAACTCAGTTTTTAATTAATATCGGTAATACTATGTGGTTTTTATGCAATGATAACTCAAACCTTAATCAATACAACCAAATTCATTATATTGAAAATATTTCTTTAAACATAACTGCAGTAAGGGGCTCTTATTACTATTCAGGTTTATTCCTCTATGTCTGACTTAATGCAAGAAATATTTTTCCACAGTTTTCTTACATCTGACTGTGTCTTGACCTGTAATTACACTGTGTAATATAACATAATGGTGAGCCAACAGTACGGAGGAGGTATGTGGACTTTGCTGGTTTTTGGGAGACTGAGTAGAAAATGTGCACAGAGGTTTAAGGATACTATTAATGGAACAAAATGGCTTCTTTCCATCCCAAGAAGCTATTGTTAACCAAAGACTTCTGCTTGAATACTTTAATCTCATTCAAAGCCATGACCCTATTTCCTAAGAACATGGTAGAAGTGCATGACTTGAAGGATACTGGGGGGTTGGGGGGGTGAGGGAAGAGGCCATTTTAGCATCTCTCAATTGTAATTACCCAAGGGCAAGGTTGGTCTGTGCACCTGGGTAGTTTTAGCACAGAAACAGTTTCTTTCTAAAGAAAATGTCTTGTTCAGAGACTACCCTGGCCATGCTGGAAATCCCCACAAGTAAACATTCTAATGAATTCTACAAAAAGGCAATTTCATATCCCTTATGCTTTTCTGTAATGGCATTTAGTCAGACTACTACTTATGGTAGAACTTGTTTATTAAAAAACCCACCTTGAGACAACCATAACCTAGTTCCTGGGATGCAGTTGTATTTCCAACATGATCCACTGGAGGGTCACAATCAATAAATTCATCAGGTCTGTAAATCAGCAGGAAGAACATAATCATTATCAAGTCTCTGCAAATGGATGTTCACAAGTTTAAAAACTGGAAAATGACAATTTCTTCAGAGGTCTTCTAGAATTTAATTTCAGTCTGACTCTTCCTTGACACGAGATAGTTTCGAGTAGACAACAGCTCAGCTATCCAAATGACTTTTCTATTAAGGGAATACGAATGTTTCTGGTCTTATTTCTTCTACATGGATTGTACTTCTGCCATGGCTTCATCTCTTCCCTAAGCCAACAATCATAAGGATGAGGGGGGCGGGGGGAATCAAAGCCAATGAATTCCTAATTTTCTTTCCGTTTCCTAAACGGTTTTGATTTAACTTAAAAGAGATGTTAAAAAAGGACTTAGTTTTGCAACGGTAATACTTTTTAATTTTTATGTTTAAAGGAAGTGTCTCATAGGCAGGGACGAGTAATAAATTCCACTCCTGCTTCACTCAGTACCACCATCTACGACGGCTACAGGGAGCAGGGCAGGGAAGGCACAACCTCACACCCTTCATTCGGAGGCTATTGATGTCACTCTTCCTAGTCCTTTTCTTTAGAGATCACAAAGGATCTGTCAGCGACACAGAAGATTTTCCTTCTGCACCTTTGAGAGGAGTGAGAGTTCTATCACGACAGTTACCTCCAGCACACTGACTACCAGGTCCTTAGCTAGAGAAGGTTTGGGGGGGTGGGGGGGAAAGTGGCCTACTTCCTCCCCCGCCGCCCAGCACCCGTAAATCCCAGCCCCATCTCCACCCGCCTCGAGGACTGCGTAGCTTACAGGTAAGAGCAAAGGATGACTGGAGAATGGGGGTCGCCATATTCCCAGCTCTGGGGGCCGGCGGAGCCCTCCGGATGGGCGGCGCCAGCGGATGTGAGCTCGGGCTCTGCGGTCGCGTTGTGCGAATGGCTCCGAGAGACACAATGCAGTAGAAGTAGATTCCCCAGTAGCAAAGCCGCCTGGCCGCACAGAAGTAAGTAACTCACCGGGCAACCACCCAGCACCATCCTCACGGGCCCAGTAGCGGAGCCCCGGCCTCAATCCCAACCCCGGCCCGGGCCGCCGACCCAAGTCCAGCCCGGTCCGGCCTCTCTGCGTAGCCCTCAGACAAACAGCCAATGGGTGTGCAAGTCGATGCTCCGCCCCGCTCCCCGCAGCCAATCCGAAAAGGCTAAGTAGGGGGGCGGGGCCGCGCCTTCCTGGTGCTTCTCTATTCCTCTTCTGGGTCTCACGCTCCTCCTTCTTTTGGTCCCGGCGCATCCTTCAATCGGATCTTCCACACCCAGAAGTGGGCGGGCTTGGGAGTAGAGTGGGCGGGGCGGACAGTGAGTGGGTGGGGCAGATTTAGGGAGGGTTTTAGAGGCCGAGATGGAAAGCCAGTTCTCCCGCCAGGGACGGAGTTTTTCCCTACGTCAGCGCGATTTTGCCCGAGCGCGATGTCAGGCTGAGCTCGGACACCAGCCGAGTTGCGTCAGTGCTGAGCGCGTGTTCGTTCCCGGGCGCGCGCACCCGGGCCAGTTCGGAGGCCCCGGCGGGGCTGGGAAATGATGGAGCAGGCTGAGGCAGAAGTGAGCGAGTGTTGAGTGGAACCTGCGGAATCTGCGGAGATGAGATCGGGCGCGGGCTCGCCCTGTGGGACTCCTCGCGTCCAGTGGCTGCTGTTGTTTGGCTTAGTGGGCCCAGTCCTCGGTGGGGTCCCGCCAGGTGGGTGTCCACCCCTTGGGTCCCTTGGGATTGCTGTTTTCTAGAACTGGGACTCTCGGAGTTAACCGGTGTTGACCGGGAGTGGGGAGGCCTGCCCTGGGGACTGGATTTGGGGTTGGGAGGAGGAGCCACTCCAGCTGAGTGTGAACGGTGCTCAGATTTGAGGCTCGGGATCTGGCGCCCCAAACCCTCTTGGCACTGTTCTCTTGTCTGGTTCCTGTTCCTGCTCCTGTTCGGCAGAGCCTTTTGCGGCGCGCCCTACCCCCATCTCGCGCAAAGCTAGGTCCCCCAGACTCTCCCAGTTCTCCTCTGGGTCTGACTGACCGACCTCGGAGAATCTGCTGAGAGTCGACCCGGTCGGTGCACGCCGAGGGTTGTGCCTATTTAAATTGCTTTGGGAAATTGAGCTTGATTTTGCTTGTAGAGTTAATGTCACTTGGAAAGAGAGAGACCGGGAGATGGAACTTTTATTCAGGTTATCATTATTGGACGTATATATGTAAAAATATGTTTTGTTGATTATCGCAGTAATCCGTAGGTCCACAAAGCTAAATTTAGCGATGGAATAGCTAGGAGGCTCATTTTTTATTGGACCATTTTGTTGTAGTAAGAATGCTTTTTGAAAACAAAGTGCTACGTTTCTATAGCCAGTCTTTTATCTGCATTTTTACTGGGCCACTAATTAATCTTAAATCCGGTCAAAGAATGCTTGCTCTGCTTACTCAGTATTGTCGTAAGAATTAAGTCATTTATGTGAAATTCCTTTCAAATGGTGACACTCCACTACTTTTAAGTATGCAAGGTATTTGTATTGGAGATGCCTAAATATAGTGGAAACAAATCACCAACACTCTGGCATCTTTCTGGAAACAACTTTATTTATTTTGACGCTTGTATGAAATTATTGTTTGCATGGCTGTATTTTCTCTGTCAGTAGCAGAGTATCATGGAAAATGGATAGTGGTTTACCTTTTTTTTTAAAAAAAAAAACTAGTTCATTACCTTCAGTGTTATTCAAAGGTGATGCTGAAGATTTCAGAGCAGGGCTGCTGACCTTTAGGAAACTAATTACATTTTAATCTTTGGCTTTTTTTTTTTTTCAGTTACATAAGTTTTCCCCATTGTGGGAATTTTGAAGCTCTACATACTGAAACTTTATTGAACAGGAAGCTACCAGATCTTTTCTGGTTAAGACTTTGCCTGCTAGTCTAAATGATTAACGTTTAACTAATATTTAAGGTGAAATAGATGATATATTTAGGGCTTTGGTAACTGATGATCTGTGTTTGCAAATATATAGGACTGTATTTGTAGTGTTAATATATGTATTACTGCATACCTGTATATAGATGAGTGAAATAGCCTTAAGTTTTTCAGCTGTAGCTTTAACAATTTGAGATCAGTCCTTCATTTAAGCATGTGTATGCTTTCAGAATTTAATCAACATTTATTAAATTCCTGTATACACCTTACTGCATGCTTGTGAAGGGATAAAGAGTGACCAACTATGTTAAGTCTACTTGAGAGATGTTGGTTTTACAAAGTGATTATTTGAACTGATGTATACTGATGAATGTTCAAGTGAAGGCATGGGGATAGGAGAGCATTCTAAGCAAAATAAAGAGTTTTTGCAAGAGTGTGGAGGACTGAAAGGACATAAATTATTGGAGAATGATGACAGTGTTTCCAGGAAATTTTTATGAAAGACAAACAAAGAAAAAACTTAAGGAAGTTGGTACCAGTTAGGAAGAACCTTCGATTCTGTGATAAGGGGTTTGGACGTTAGCCCATAGGAAAGCAGGGCATTGAAGGCATTAAAGTAGGAATGTGACAACTAGATTTTTGGTTAAGATGGAGAACAGAGTAGAGGAAGGAGAGACTAGAGAGGGGTGAGATCATTTAGAAGTCTTTATTATAATATGAAGTGAGTCAACTTAATTTCCTTGGGGAATTTTTCTGAATAAAAGTTTTGCAATACAGGAAGGATGTTTGAGCCATGCACTGAAACATTTTCTACTGGTCAAAGAGGCATTCCAGAACATAATACTGTTCATACATCAGTTACATTAGGTGAACAGGTCTGGTAAAATTTTCATTACTGGTTACAACATTGTGTCAATGGGGAAAGTCATACAAATCCCAAGTAGCAGACTTACAGTAAACTTTTTATTTTATTTTTTTAAATGGGGCTGACAAAGGTAACTTTGTATTGTGAAAAATAATAAGGGGTATTGGATAGTAAACTTCTAACAATTTACCCCTCTAGGGTAGTAATTATGATGCATAGGCCTAAGATTTATTAAAAAAAAAAAAAAAAAAAGACCAGCATTCTAAACAACATGAGTTTTAAAGCTTGTACATGGTAAATCATTGTAAAGTGAAGTTAGATCCATACTAGTTTTATTTTTAGGTGTTAGCCAATCATTTGAATTTGGTATGTTTGTGCTGCATAGGAACTTATAAATCTTTTAAATTTAAGTATAACTTGGTTTTAAACAATTAAGTGGGAAATAAAGTATTTATAATAAAAATATATACAAAACAGTTTTTGGATTCCAGAAAGTTTTCTAAAAGCACTTTAAATTTTACCTTACCTTACCAAAACTGACTTTATATTTGTTCTTTGTTAAATGTTGTTTTCGCTTATTATAAATTTGCGGAAAGAAAGTAACTGGAAACCTTTTCTTGACATTTCTATAAGCTCAAATATCTGACGTAGTTTCATGACATTTCTTTTATCTCTTTGATACCTGGAATATACCACAGTCTTGGAGTAATGCCATTCTTTCAGTCAGTGTTAAATGGCTGCCTCATTGGTAAAATCTGGGCCTCTTGTTATTTCAGTAACTAATGCCCTACTACCTTTGAAACAGGTCTGACTTGGACCTAACTAATGTTGAACTGTACTTTGAATTGTGTAATCATAACCCTGTTTGTATTTTGCTAGATTATCAAAGTTTTTCATTCTGTGACAATGTTATTTTGGTCAAAGTTTTCCAAAGTGATCATGTGCAGAATACTGCTTATCTCCTATCTTTTGAGAATAATTAGGGATCCTGAGAAATTAATTTGGTCAGTTTTAAAATATGCATTATTTTGCATGTGTTTATATTTGCCTTAGTATAAGAATGAGAATATTTCAACATTTAACAGGTAATGATAACATCATCTCCAAACATTGTGTCCTGCTTTAGGACAGAACCCTATCAAAGCAAGGGAAAAGAAACTTTCCCTTTGCAATATTTTTTTCTTTTAATGAGAATTTTCATCATTTATTTCATTTTAGGATGATTTTCTCTGCTTTCCTTTAGTCTCTTTAGAACTCTCATGCAATTATATTCTTCCTGTAGACCCTGCTTCAGAGAAGCTTCTCTGGCACATTAGCATCCTGTGTGACTATACCCTGGGCAGAACCACCAATCTTAGGTGCTTGAGAGGAATGGTTAAGCAGTCAATCGCATAGCAACACATGAATTACAGCACTGCTACTAATATGACAAATGTGTGGGTCATCTGGACTTATGGAAAAGAGATATAAAAGTTAGGCATAAAATTAAAGCTTATTTTAAGTTCTACATGATAATGACAATTATTAAAGCTTTGATTAACTATAAAGATCAAAAGTGGTAATTTACTCAACACACACACACATATATTTTAAGGTAACACTGGTTTACAACAATGTGATCACAACTCCTCAGGTGTATGCTACCTTCCTCCTGAGATGTGTGCTGTGCTATCCATCCACCAATGGACACCTAGTCTTCCATCATTGCATTGCCTCCTCCTCCCTTTGCTCTCTACCCTTCAGCTCCTTCTTGATAGTCTCACTACCTCCCGTCCCCCCACTTTATTTTTTGTTTATTTATCAAGAGAAACTATTCCTTATAACCAAATATTCATGTTTCATAGTTTAGGAACACAAGTCAATGACAAACTTCTATGGAAGTCAAGCCAAAGAAATCATTTATGTTCCATCTATCCTCATTTCCTCAAAACCTTTCTTGAAATAATATTTTCTATAAAAATCTGCATGTTTACTCTTTTTGTTCACCCACAGAAAGCTTCAAGCCCCAGGGATACAGTGAATGTTCCAGCAATATGAAATTAGGGCTGCTTGTCTAAAAGACTGCCTATCTGGGTTTTTGACCAAGCCCTGGCCTTCAGAATAGTTACTCTCCCCAACATGGCCATCCTTATACACGGAAGGGGAAATGAAAAAGTGTTTGAATTGTGCCCTGGCAGCCTCAATTTTATAGTCAGATTGTTAGGTTTGGTTTTGGTTCAGTTTGTTTGACCCTTGTTTTATTTCTCTAGATCCCACATATAAGTGAAATCATCCGATATGTGTCTTTCTGACTTATTTCGATTAGCATAACACCCTTCATTTCCAATCATGTTGTTGTACATGGCAAGAGTTCATCTTTTTTAAAAATAGCTGAATAGTGTTTCATTGTGAATATACACCACATCTTCTTAATCCATTCATTTGTGGTTGGATACTTAAGTTGTTTCTATATTGACCACTGTAAATAGTGCTGTGGACATAGGACTGTACTTTCAAATTGTTGCTATACCTGTCTACATTCCCACCAAAAATGTATGAGGGTTCCTTATTCTCTACATTCTTGCCTACATTCATTGTTTCTGTCTTTTTGATATGGGCCAGTCTCACCGATGTGAGGTGGTTAACTCATTGTGCTTTTGGTTTGCTTTCCCCGATGATAAATAATGAGTATTACTCTTGTGCCTGTTGGCTATCTATATGTAGTCTATGGAGAAAGCTTATTGTTGAGTTGTATGAGTTCTTTGTAGATTATGGATATTAACCCCTTGTCAGATATATGATGTGCAAATATATTCTCCCATACCATGGATAGCTTTTTTGTTTCTTTGGCTGTACAGAGCATTTTAGTTTGATATACTGCCATTTGTTTATTTTTGCTTTTGCTTCCCTTCCTGTTGAAGTGGGGCCCCCAAAGACATAACTGAAGCAAATT